GATCTCCTATATAAACTGAAGGAGATTCAGTTTCCCAAAAATAGGGTCCCCCGAGAGCAGCCAGCTGACGTCAGGACTGTCTACAGTAGTCAGTAATAAATATACTGTAAATAAATGGCTAAGACAAGCCTAAAACCCACTCGAATCTTCTACAATTAGTCACCAATGGACACCAACCCTTCCCTGAAAGCACTGCTGGCAGAAAAATTATCACAGAATCACAGAATAATTGAGATTGGAAGTGACCTCTGGAAATCATTAGTCCAACCCTAACTATCTTTTGTTGTAGATAATAACTGACTATTCAGGGAGACAGTAAACGCATTGTTACTTGTTCATGTATGTGTTTTCAAGGTAGTGACAAGAAGGGGACTATTATGAAATCAAAGCAAGTGAAAAACTGCCATTTCTCCAATGTACCAAAATAGATCTTGGGAGTCAACATATTTTGAAGGCATGGTCTCTATTTTTCCTTTTATTTAAATCTGTGCTTTCCAGAACAGTTCTTCCTAAACTATGCTGAGGAAGGGAAGGAAATGAATCATCATTCTGTCACATACTGACATTTGCACTGAATAACTGAAGACTGAGTCAAAGAATATTTCTCCAGCTTCTCTTAGAATCGAAGCCATTCTCTTAGAAGTAGGATATACCTGATTTTCAATGTGTGCTCCCAAAAAGTATTTTTTCAGTCCTCTTCTTCTAATGATTTCTTACTGTTGCCAAATCTATTTCAGCTCCATAATAACTGAAGAAAAATGCACATATTTTTAAAGAAACTGTAAGAGTTAAAAAAAAATGAAAACAGAAAACAACAAAACAAACACAAAGTATTATTCGCAAAAGTGATTTAGTGAAAAAAAGTACAAGGTCATCAAAACAACTACTCGGATTTAGGAAACTAGATGTTCTTTGAAACCTCTATGTCCAACACTAAGGTCAGCTATGTCCAGTTCCTTTGGGGATGTCTAAAGTACAGAACCACTTAAATTTTTAAACTCAAAATCCCTATAAGCTTAATTTTCTATTTCAAGAGTTGTTCAGTATTAATAATGCTAAGAGGTTAAGCATCAGCTTCACCCCTACTGGTCTTTGATGTTTTCATGTGAGATGATCCCTTGCCTGATTTTCTTGCAGATAGGAATTTCAAGAACACACCACATACAGTGGGCCTCACAAGTATGGAAATTCCTGAACGTATTGACACTCTTAGTACAGTTATTAACTGTCAGGATAGCAGACCTTTCTCAAACAAATCCTCAGTGTCATAGTAATGAGCATGGGGCACTGGGAGTGAAGAGACCTCAGACACCTCCTTCATGTAGCGAAGGTCTCACTGCAACTGCAAGTACTTGCTGGCAGAAAGGCTAGGGCCCTAGCCTCTTAGGAAACAGTCCAAATATCTAGGCTAGAGATTTACTTTCCCTCTGGATGGCTCTTGTACTACAGGTTGGGCCCAGATGTTTGCATTGTCAATAGGTGAATGACATTTTCACTTGTTTTCCTATAAAGAGAAGATGGAAAAAAGGCAAAAAACAAAAACAGCAAATGGTAACGAAAAGTGGTAAATAGTTCTGGAAATAGCACTTTGATCAACTGGATAATGGCTGCCATAACGTATTTATGAGAAATTATTCTGCCTCTGTCCTACACAGCTGATTACCATCATGGCTGGGTGGGATAGAAACAGTCTTTCTAGATTGTTTTGAAACAACAGCAATAAACTCCAAAACCAACAATATAAATAATTTCATTTACAGGTAAATTCAAATTTGGAGTGACTAACATGCTTTTCCTTAGTATCAGAAGGGTAAAATTCACTTGATTTTTTTCATTTCAAAATTATATTTGACTTGAATGTTAATCTAAGTATGTTCAAGTATCAGAGAGAGAAAATAAAAGAAACAAACATCTGCTCTGAACTCAGAAATTGTAGAAATGAACTGTAATTCCCTCCCATGTATACACAACTTTGCTGAACCAAAGCTACTTCGATTTCTTATAGGCCTGTTGTAGCATAAACAGCAGAGATGCATACACAAAGGTGACTATTGACCTTTTTGAAGAAGGAATTACCGAGGGACTTCCCAGTACTGCCTTGACAGCTAGGGCAGGAGGCTCAGGGCACTGTCACAGCCTTTTCTTAGGCTGTTTACCAGAAGTAATCCAGTGGGGCCATTTGCATCAGGGGACATTCAACTTTTGGAGAGAATCTATGGGCACATCAGAATGCTGTGACCTGATGGAGAAAAAAAGGACTCGTCCTCTCCACTGTGCAGCTCAGCTGACACACTCTAGAGGACAAACCTGGTGAACCTGAAAATTGAGTTGGTTTGTTTCTCAGAAATCAGTGTTGTTTGGCTTTCATCCAGGTTCTATTTCACTGTTGGTTTTTTGTTTTAATTTTTTTTTTTTTTTTGAATGTTTAATGATGATTTTTAATTGGACACAAATATAAAAAATTGCTATTTTTCTTTATATTCTTTAATTTTAACATTTTATATTAAGCTAAGACTATTCCCGGATAGTAGAATATTTTTAAAAGGTAATTAAAGTGAAGTAATGCAATATCTGCTTCCTTCTATTTAAACTTCCTTCACAGAAACTGAGTAATGTAGTATCTTAGGGTTGAACACAACAGTCTCACAACTCTGTCTTCTTGACCAAACTACTGGCAGTTGCAAAACTTCCTTATAACCTGTCCAGCTTTAGAGGCTGCAAAGATGGGAGAAGCAGGTGGTCCATTTGCACGTATCCACTGCTGTATCCACACAGATATCTCTGGCTTCTCTTGCACATATTCGATTGTGGAGACTTTGAATATATATGGCACTGCTGCCAGAAACTTACTAGCTGTGAATTTACAAGAAGTCCTCTGCATGATTAATGCTGAATTTGGCAAGGGCATTTTCCAAAACTCAATTGTTCTGGTCCTTCTCAAAAGGAAGCTGAAGACCAAGTGTAAAAAAAACATCTCGGCACAGTAGCAGGTCACTCTGGGACATACAGTGACACTAACAGAGTATCTCTGTCTCCCACCAGATCCTCTGAAGTCTCTTATAAGTCACCTGTGTCTCTCATCTTATCTTTGGGTTTGGTAAGTCATGCTTTCTGCCTTTTCACAGTTTATTAAAGGCTGCTTCGCTGCTTCTTAGACATGACGATACTTCAGTTATTCCCCTGAATCTAATGACTGATTGAAGTCTTATGACTGACATTGAGGTATCACCTCCTCCCGTGCTTTCTCCCAAGAAATTCTCCTATGCAGACAACTGAGAAGACTGTGAAAGTCCAATGATGCTACAATAATGTCATTAAATTACAAACAACATTTTGTATTATACACTTACTTCTATTGGTTCTTAACTGTCAGTGAAAAAGAGTGTTTACAAGCACTTATGATTGATTCTTCAATACCAGAGTAGGATGACTTATTTCAGTAAAACATTAAAGTACTCCTCACCACTAGCAATACTTATGAGATGTAGGTCTTAAAAACAAGCAATAACAATAAAAGACCCCTCCCTGTGAAAATACACTGCAATACACTATGACCCAAACTCAATGTAGTTGAATGTAAAGCACGCTTCATATAAAGGTGTTTTTATAAATAACAAGAAATTGGGAACCAATTATATGTGATGTTTATTTTGTCAACTTCCACTTTCCAGAGAAAACAAGTAAGGTTTTTTTTTCTAGGTAAAATCCTCTTCTACATAAATTCATAGCTTTTAAAGTATTGGCCAGAGGAAAGTTTATTTCGTGCTTCTAATAAAAAATACTAATACATTTCAAACTTTGATTTATTGACATTTTATTTTCATTATATGCTTAAAATAGTACTTAGTGTTAACTCCTTAAGTAGTATATTTTATACTAGAGGCACATGGCTGAAGATTTCTTGTGACTTCCTCAACAAAATGACTACCTCCAATCCCAAACTTTAACAGCATAAGGTATCATTTGTCAGAAGGTTTAGAAGGTATGTGCAAAGTCATGGAAAATCAAACACCTGGGTAGTTGTAATTAGGCTTGAGGGAGCATTACTTGGGTGGAAAGAAGTAGGTACGTGTATATTTGCAGGTGGATAACTCAGGGTCAGGTTCTAACTATGTTTATGCTGCTATAAATCAAGGGGAATACCTTCAGAATAAATTAAATTTTTACAAGTCAGCACAAAGCAGAATAAACTGGTATCCTAACCTGCCCGTAAATGCATTTCATTAGATACATTAAAGAAAATGTAGACAGCTGTTTACTGTATACCGTGAACTACCAGTGAGATTACCACAGAGAAAGAAAGACAAGGTTCTGTATTATAAAAAAGAAGCTGCTGAATGGTGATTTAATGGATGATTAGCTTTTGCATTTGTGGTTAATATCTCTGTTGCAAATGGATGCTCTATCTATAAAGAGTAAGTGGAAAAAAAAAAGGCAAAATATAATAATCCAGACTTTTTGATCTTGTTGATCGTTTATTTTTGTTTGTTGCTTTCTTTTGTTTTTCTCTGTCTTCTATAAAGACCACTGTAGCAACAGGGCCTTTTTTTCTGTACTCTTTGGATCAGACTCTTAAAGTAACATCACTACCATATTACATGATATCTCTTCACCCAGCAATCAGCTGGAAAGTACCAAGACAAGCCCAAACTTATACAAAAATATTTGCCAATTGTTTCAGATTAAGAATAATAATTTTTGAATACAACTGAACAGATTTATGTCCAGCACTTCCTTTTATATTCATATTTCTTTTTCCTTCCCTCTCGCTCCCCTGCACTCTCACATTTTATGTGACAACATAGCTTTGGAGTTCTAATAAGTTCTAATAAGGTAACCTGAGTCAGTGAAGCAAATACGAGCAACTTATGAGGTGTGACTAACTTTGGAGCTCAGCCTTTTTTCCCTTACTGCTGTTTATAGATGACATAGGAACACTTGCTGGCACTGCAGCTGGCATAATGGACTTAAAGCTGGGAGTGAGCAGGTGAAGCAGAAGCATGGCATTATTTAGCTTAGTGCTGATTCCATTTGTGATCAGCTCTGATGTTGCTTCTGCTTGCCAGAATACAGATGACTTTGTGGGCGCCAGTTCTCCAGGAGACATTATTATAGGAGGTTTGTTTGCAGTTCACAGTGAAATGCTGCATCCAGAAGAGCATCCTATCAAGCCAGTAATTCAGAACTGTGCTGGGTGAGTAACACGGCAAATTTCACTTATAACAACTAAGAGATCACTGAAATCAGGCAAATCAAACAGTGTTGTGATCAACAAAATCTGTTTCTCTTGCATTTCTCAGTTTTTTAGAAGACTTTGGACATCACATAAATTGCTTATAATATAACAAAGAATGACAAGGAATCACAGAGTTTTCATAGAAAATGCTATGGCTGACCAAGGAAGGAAATGGTTATTTGATCCTATTTCAATCTTCATACAGAATCAAATAGCCCTAGAAGTTTGTGTTGAGGAACTATTTAATTGCCATGTTAATACTGTTTTGTTGCTCTGTGACTGAAGGACTCTGCCTTGCAGTTCATTATTTGTAGTGAAGTTGCACCTAAATGCTTTGAACACAGACAGTCTGCCCAATTTTGTCTAAACACATATAGAAGTATGCCTCTCACACCCACGCTGGTAGTCTATTGTACTACTGACTACGTTGCAATTGTTATAATCAGTGTAGATACTGTATTTTGTACAACTGTGGCACTATGTGATGGGATATACAGAACAGACACCATGTCATGTACGCATTCACGTTTATACTGCACATCAAAATATTTATTTTGTTGACTCCATATCCTACTTTTTGTAAATTCAGGAATGTGATATAATATAAATCCATACATGCATTTTCTTTCATTTTAATATAGGTACAATTCCATAAGTTTTATTTTAATGTAGGGAATCCGTATGGGTTTATTTCAAAATGATGTCAAAGTTGGTTGTTTTGTCCGTATTTTATTATTTTTCTTCAGCCATATATTGTATCCACTCCATTTGAAATTTACTTTGGCTTGCAAGGTATGTAAACTTTAGAGACCCTTGCTTAAGAGGAGAGTTGGTTGCATTGCAGGCAGCCTGTATGTTCTGAATAAGAAACTATCATATCCATAGAAGATAAGGAGAAAAGCTGTATTAACTTTGTTAGGTTTAGAGAGGATGTTAGGAGCATTTGTGCAACCACAGGAAGACATTAATTTCTGAAGTATTTTCTTCTAGTCCTTTATTTTGTTTCATTCTTTTGGTGAAAACAAATATATTGAAACAAACAAACAAAAAAAAAGCAAAAATTGCTGGGCTGAATGGGGCAAATTAGAACTGACTCTAACAGACACTTTCTGAAGATTTCCCTTGCAAATTTTAATGTATCACAATAATTGTAACTTGAGTGCCTGTTTTTCAGAAAAGTATTTTTATTCAGATATTACTGAAGTATTATGTTAATTATGATTATTCTACCATTTAAGTGAGAAAGAAAATAATACAATTTTCTTTTTTTTTTTTTAACAGCATGAATCTGAATCAATGGAGGGTCAGGTTGGGTGTTATTGAAAGGTTCTTCACCAGAGGGTGGTCAGGCACTGGAACAGGCTCCCCAGGGCAGTGGTTAGAGCCCCAAGATGTTAGAGTTCAAGAAGTGTTTGGACAGCACTCCCAGACATAGGATTTGAAATTTGAGTGGTCCTCCGTGGAGCTGGGAGATGGATTTAATGATGCTTGTGGGTCTCTTCCAACTTGAGATACTCTATAAATCTGATTCTATAAAACACGAGCAAATCACACCAAGAATTTCCTTTCAGTAGCTGGCAAAGCTAAAGGATGTGAACAGAATTTGCTTCAGTCTTATTCCAGAAATATCTTTTTTCTAAAATGAAACTTCTGTGTTTTCTGACAGCTTTGAAATTCAAATTTTTCTTCAGACTCTTGCAATGATACATGCTATTGAAATGATCAACAATTCAACATTATTATCTGGAGTTACTCTGGGCTATGAAATCTATGATACCTGTGCAGAAGTTACAAAAGCCATGGCATCTGCTCTGAGGTTCCTGTCCAAATCCAATACTTCTAAGGATATTGTAGAGTTCAAGTGTAACTATTCAGACTATGTACCAAGAATTAAGGCAGTCACCGGAGCCAGCTACTCTGAGGTGTCAATGGCAGTTTCAAGGCTATTGGCTTTGCAACTAATCCCACAGGTAGGTTTGAGGGAATTATTTCATTTGAGACAGAGGATCAAATTTACCATGGCTAGATGTGGATCTGATTGGAAGGACTGCAAGTCACAGTTGTTCCAAAAAAACAGTTTTGGTCCTGCTGCTCTTCAAGCAGCTATAGAGGAGAAGGAATATGACTACTCCTTCCCCAAACATCCTTCTCTATTTCCAGCTACTCCAGTACTATTTCTAGTTCTTACAGTCCCATGCTTGCACTTAGGCTGGTGCTTCCATTATTACTTTCACTGTTACAAGAAAAAAAAGTTTTGGTCAAAACCGAAATCATCTTGTGCTGCACACTGATTTTGGTTATTTGACATATATTACCTTTCAGCAAAGTAGCATAAACATGCAAAAAAAAAATTAAAATATGAGCTAAATGTAACTTTTAATTGAATCTTTTCCCTTTCATTGGGAGGAAATAACTACGGCCTCCAGCTCCACAATAGGAGCTATATTTGATATATAAATTAAAAGCCACACTTAAAATTACTCAAAAGGCAAATTATAAAACAAATTTACTTTGTGACATAGAGATGGAAAAGGTGACCTAGTAGATTTTTCTCATCTATAGTATCTGCAATCTGCTGACATTAAGATTTGATATCTTCTCCAGATAGGGGGCTCTCATTTTGGGAAGCTTAGATTTGTTAAGAACTGTCAAGCAAGATAAATATTACAGTAGGAAAAACAACAAATTAGACAAAGGTTAAAAAGTAAATACATTTAAATTACATCTTTTTCAGTTATGTTTTTTCTTGCTATTCACAATAGAAAGGCTAAAATTTCTACATAAGAAAAAATATTATATTGTTCTTTAATATTAGATATGCTTTTTTTTTCCTCCGATAGGATTTTCTAACAGACCTTATGACCCCTTTAAAGCACAGTAATTAAATTTTTGAGAGAAAATAAATAAGTGGGTTGACTATGCTAACATAATGTAAAAAAAAAAAAAAAAAAAAATTGCAAAATGTAGGCATACTAGAAATTTTAATAACAGCTCCAACTACATTTGTTGTTAACACTACATACTAGTGTGTTAAGTATTGTACAGGTTAAATAAAAATCCAACATAACTTTCAGATCCATTTACAATGTTTTAATCTCTGCTTTTAGTAAAGCAATTAGGTGCACAAAGATGAAAATGAGGGAAAGGGTGCTGAGCACAGGCCCATGTTCCAACAGCACGATTAGGAATCCTGCCCTGCTTGACTGCCCTGTGTTTGCCCCCAGTCACAGCAGGGATGGAAAAGCAATAGTGGAAATTTTGGGGCTCTCAGAATCCTTTGGAGGAGACCACTTCCATAACTGAACAGTTGTCTCTTCCTAGGTCAGTCCTGCATCATCAGCTGAAATCCTCAGTGACAAAATCCGTTTTCCTTCTTTCTTGAGGACTATCCCCAGTGATTTCCATCAGACAAGAGCAATGGCCCACCTGATCTGTGAATCTGGGTGGAACTGGATTGGAGTAATAGCCACCGATGATGACAACGGGCGCTTTGCTCTGGAGAGCTTTGGGGTCCAGGCCATGGCAAACAGTGTTTGCATAGCTTTCAAAGAAATGCTGCCTGCCTATCTCTCTGATAACACCTTTCATACAAAAGTTGATTGTGCAATCGAGAAGATTGTCAAGGAAACCAGAGTAAATGTCATTGTAGTCTTTATGAGACAATTCCACGTGCTCAAACTATTTAAGAAGGCAATTGAGAGAAATGTAAAAAAGATTTGGATTGCAAGTGATAACTGGTCAACTGCAGTGAAAATCAGTACAATGCCCAACATCAGAAAGCTGGGAACTGTTGTGGGATTTGGATTTAAAAACAAGGATGTATCCACATTCCAAGAATTTCTGAGAAATATTCATGAAAGGCCCACTGAAAACAACAAGTTTTTACTTGAGTATATTATGCTTTTGTCAGTCTGTGCACACCTGGACAACTACGATTTTCAAATGTGTATTTCAAGCCAATCCCAGTACGACCTGATGCAAATTGTTGAGAACAAACATCAGATCTGGAGAGACGATTTTTTGAGTGCCAACATTGAACCAGGATTTATCCATAGTACTATACTTGCAGTGTATGCCATTGCCCATGCCATAAAAGGGCAATGCAAAGACAGAAACTGCAAGGACCCCTCTGCTTTTGCCCCCTGGGAGGTACGGTGTTTATTCTTTGAGGTCCTGTTCTCTCTATATAACTTCCATCTCAATTTTTCTCCTGCATTCCTGGATTTACATGTTTAGTTCTTTTACTAAATGAGTTCTTATTCCTGTTTCTGCCTTTCCTTAAAACTGCATGGGACAAGTGAAACCACAGCTCATCTCCCAGAGCAGCAGTTGCTAATTAGTTATGAGAACTGGAATCTAGCTTTCTTCCCTTGCTTTGGCCCACACAGGAGCAAAAACTGCTGATGCTAAGCCATGGCTCTATTCTGCTGTAGATTGAGATGTACTACTGCAGTTTATATACTGAGATAACTGGCTGATCCATGGAAATAAGTAGGAGGAATTACTTTCAGAGCAAACTATGTATGTGCAGCCCAGGATAGTTCTCTTCACTTAGTATGGCCTAGGCAAGCCAAAATGTTGGATACCCATGCATATGGATACCTAGCACTTCCCCCATCATCTTCAAAGAAGGCATCAGCTTGGATGAAGACTCCAGTCTCTAAGCTGCTTCCTGGAACATCTTACTAGCTACTTGAACAGGATAGAACATAAATGTGCAATCAATCTGGTTGACATAGGTGTTCTGCCACTAAATACTAGTCCTGTTTCTGCAGACCGCTTTAATACTCAGCAGTGTGCTCTAGAGAGGTAGAGATGTTACAGAAGAGAACAGCTCCCCACAGAGTTTCAAATGCCCCCTCTATCTCTAACTGCTTTCTCCATTTTGTCTGAGCTCAGGTAAATTCCTCTATAATGTAATTTTTCTTGGAAATGAAAATGTAGCAGACCATTCTTGTGTCTGATCATGAGTTACAGGGAAATGACTGGTGGAAAAATGTGACACAATCTTGAAGATGAGTGAGGTACTTGTTATCAGACTTTACAAGGTGGGAAAAGAACAGGAAAAATCAGACAAGTAAACCTGACCTGACCTTTTACCTGAGAACCTGCTCAGGAGTATTCACTTTTACACACTTTTACTCAGAGGATTAAACAAAAGTTCATTTAAAAGTCAAACACCCACTGAAGCTCTCTGACTTGCTCTGACCTCTCATCCTGGGTCAGGGCAGGTCAAACCAAGATAGGGAATTTGAAAAAAACAGCAGCCACAGGAACAAATTCTTACATGAATTTGTAAAAACAGATGGGACAAATTCAGGATAGTTCTATGGGATATGCAACTTTATGGGGCTGCGTTTACATCACTGCTGAATTAAATCCCAAACCACCCAAATTTAGTGTCCTGTTTAGAAGCTAAGAACTCTTGGAGAAACTCCCAGTGCTGTTTCCATTACACATTTCTTCTAAATTAACTTTAGCCCCTCCAGAAATGGGTATATTTAAAGACAAGGATACAACAAATCCATATCACTCTCCTCAACATACAGAAAAATATCAAAGTCATTTCTATTATATATTTGCAAAAATAAATATAAATTAAATAATGATGTTTACTAATTGCTAGATCCTTCTGTTTGAAGCTGAAGATGTCTTCCAAAAGTTTTTGTTATTGTTATTTGTATTTTGTATTTTAGAGAAATTGGAAGAGTAAAGAAGAGGAAGTTTAAACAACTAACCTGAGAACACTGAACCAAAAATTCCCTGTTCAGTCCCACAAGACTGTGCAATGTCCAAATCAAATGAAATGTCACTTAGATGCATGTTCTCTTTCACCATGTATTTGCAGACAGGCAGTGAGAATATATAAATTGTGAAGAAGTGATGTTGTATATGAAAAAAACTTACAAATGCCAGATTTTTTTACACATATATCTATACCAGAACCTTTTAAGTAATAGCATATTTTTTAAATGCTATAACTGTCACACAGGAATCCATGTAAGAGTGCTTTTCAAGGGAGATTCAAATTCATCCATTCACTGAATCCTCGGTTTGTTTTTTGTTGTTAATTAACTCCTATTGCCAAAAGTTGTTAGGCTTGCAAAGTAATAAAACCTTTGCTTCAGTTTGCAGCCACGGTAGCTAATGAAAATCTGCTTGCAGTCTCCTCATGAATTGGGATTGTGTTCTGTATGCTTCAACCTGTCCTTTTCTAGATTCACAACGAACCTTTTAAATGTTTTTTTTTTTTTTTCATGTGGGAGCAAGAAATTTCACCCTACTGAACTGAATGGGTTGAAATATTAAGCTAGATAGTTGTCTTATAGAAATGTGCTTGCCATAAAATTTCCTATGAGGCATCAAATATAACCTTGTAATCTATTGCCATTGTGCCATATATCAATTTATCTGAGTAAAATGGCATTTAATATTCATACCATAACTCAGAACCTCACCTTGCAATACACAATATCAGAGCCTCGGCTGAAAATGTTAAATGAGGTATTTCCAGCACTGGGGGAGGTTACACTGGAAGGAGATATTGCCCAGATCCACTTTGTTGACAGTATGGTAACAACAGGAGCGTCAATCACAGCCATTCTTTACAGTAAGGAAAGTTCTAAAAGGCCTTTCTTTTTCCTGCAAGTAAAGCATTTTCTGTCCCGAAATTTCCAAGGCTGGAAATGTAAGTACTAATACACAGGTATCTGCATACATTGCATAAAGTTGAAAAATGATTATCTGTGCTATATAGATTTTTAAGGTCAACAAGGATTCTCAAAATAATGTAAATCTGTGTAGGATGTAGGATTAACAGTTATACAGCTCGCTTTTAAGATGATACCACTTGTAGAAAGCAACATCTCTTTTTTAAATTTGATATTACCATACTAGTGTTAAACTATTCAGTGTATCACACTGAAATGACACTGATGTATGCCACTGTTTCCTATATTTATGTTCAGCTCCTTGAAGAACTTAAAAAAGTTACAATCATTGATGATGATAAAGAAATCAAGTTTGACTCCAAAGGCGATATGAGCTCTGGTTATGATGTACTTCTTTGGAAAGAAGTTGATGGCCACATGGAAATCACCACTATGGCAGAATATGACCCAGAAAACGGTTACTTCATCTTTGAGGATGAGGAGAAAAAAAAAGAATTTCTGGATTTAAAGGTAACTTTTATTTTGTTGACCAAACATCTGAAATTTATTTCATATGTGTCCTTCTTCCTCTGGTGTTTGCAACTGAAGTGTGTGTAAAAAATCACTCATTTGCTGTCATATTCTCTGTGATTCTGTGATATTCTCATTTCAGAATGATGCATCCTCTCTAGGTAAGATTCAACTACCTTTATGCATTCTGAGATGCACATGAGCCTGTAAGCAGTCTCAGTGATTTGAAATTATTTCTCCATAATTCCCCTAAGAGGTTTCCTATAATGTGTAAATCAAATGTGTCCAAAGGATACTATTCCAGAATGCGAAATTGAGTTTTAGAACAGAAAATGACTACTTATATATGTCTCCTGCCTTGCCACAAGGCAACCATTTATTTTTCACAAATGGATGCATATCTACTGTTTTACAGTTGGGGAAAAATAAGCCTTGTTGATTATTTACTCCTGTTAGAGTTGGGTCAGTACAAACACGTGAGTATGAGATAGGTGGCACCATCTGGAACCCCAGCACCAGTGCAGAGAGAAGGAGTGGTTGACCCCAGTCAGTTCCAGCTGGATAATGTCACCTGTGCATGGTGAAGGCTTTGGGGATTTCTGCAGCTCTGCCTCAGTGTGGCTCTGTGCTAGCACACCAGAAGAAATGCTGTTTACAAGGTGGGATGAATGTAGTTTCTGTGTAGCCTTAGTTGAAAGAAGATGCTAAGGACAGAAGATCTCTTTTCTTGTCCATCTTCACGGTGCTGCTCAGAATGGCAACTTGTAAGCCCTAACCTGCAGGGAGAAGAAACAGCAGCATCCCTCAGGACTGTCCCTCCATTTACAAAGCTTATCTTGGAAGAAGGCCCTGAATCCAGCTCTTGAGAGAGGGCCCCGACCACACACACCTTGAGTAGTGCCTGATGACCCAGGGGTGAGCTGCTGTGTGGGTGGCATGGGAGAAACACGTCCCATAGAGCCAGAGAATCTGCTCTGCACTCAGAGCTGTTGAGCAGGATGTCAGGACTGCATTTGTGGTGTGGTCCATCTGAAACCCCTCCCAAATGCTTCTGTTCTTTCTTTGGATCTGGATCCCAGTGGTCTAACTTCCAGTTTCAAAGCTGAATGAGACACTTGGATGTGGATTTTAAAGCTACATACAGTCGCACTGATTTAGGGCCAAAAAATAAAATGGTCATGTAAATAGGGCCCCATCCTGTCCCTTCTTGAGTGCATGGAGAAAATGTAAGAAATACAGAGTCCTCTTCACATTCTTTAATATCATTTTCAGATTGCCTTAAAATATGTTAGATATTAGAAGAGTTCAAATCATAGTAGAATTGAAGGCTTATTTTAACAGTTCGTAGTAATCAGTAATGCCTGAACTTTTTCTTTTTTTTTTTTTCCAATTTGTTCTCTGCACACTGCAGAAGGTTCCATCAACATGCTCCCAGCACTGCAGACCAGGACAGATGAAAAAGGTTACAGAAAGTCCACACACATGCTGTTACGAGTGCGTTTATTGCCCAGAAAACCATTACAGCAATCGAACAGGTAAAGAATTGTGATCCAAATAAAGGTTTATTTAGAGGTCAATACAATTGTTTTGTTCATGAATAATGCACCTTAGCAACCGGGGGTAAACTTTGGAATGAGGTTAAAACATTTGTTAATGCTCAGCTTTACAGATAAAAAAAGAGAAGAACAGTATGCAGCATATAAGATGAGGTTTCCATGCTTTTTAGAATATGAAACTTTAAAAAATTAGACTTTGTAGCTGAATATTGTTATCTGTGTTTGGATGAAAAGTATGGCTGATGTTTCAGTGAGACACATCTCATGACAATAGAGCCTTGCTTCTGTGTCTTTCTGCAACACAGAAAGTCCAATGCAAGTACAAGGGCTATTTATTTGCTTGCTGGCATACTTTTTATCTTAAGTAGGAGAACTATGATGTTTTATATGAGAGTGTAGTAGTATTACTATCAAATCTGATGCTTATTCTAGTTCATTTTCAGTTTGAGTAAGGTTTATAAAAGGAAGAAATTAAATACGGAGAAGAGAGATAGAATTAAGAAAATTGGGGTACAATGTACTTCTAAAGTCTTGATAGTTAGAAAACAAAGAAATTGCATGCGATCTCTTTTATTATTAAAAAGCTGTGACATTTCTCCATAGCAGATAACAGGAATTTCACAGGAAAAGTAACCTTTGAAAGTGGAATCTACATCACTGTGCGTTCTTGCTGTTGCATTTCAAAAGATTTCTGAACAAAGAAAGATTTTTTTCTTGTTGAACTAGGTAAATGAACAAGCTGCAGTTCCACTCTCTGTAGGGCAATTTGTTCAAATTCAGGCCACCATCGTGCTGCCAGTAAAGGTTTGCCAAGCTCTATCCCTGTGGTGTGTCCATGGCAAGGGGTACTCCAGGTAGCTGCATACCTGGCCCACGCCTCACTTTTTGCCCCATATCCCTTCTCACCTTCTTGTATCACAAGGCTTTACCATTCACTTGGTAGTTTATTTACTTTGGGTTCCTGAGTTACCTTCATTTTTTCTGTTTTCAGATATGGATTATTGCTACCGGTGCCACAACAAAACCTACTGGGCACCCGTGAACAGCACTACATGCTACAGAAAAACAATCCACTTCCTCGACTGGTCAGACTGGTTTGCTATTTTCCTGCTCCTCCTCTCCGCCTTCGGGGTTGTGCTCATTTTTTCCATCAGTGCAATATTCACTAAAAACTTGAGCACACCAGTTGTAAAGGCATCTGGAGGTTTAACTGTCTGCTATATTATCCTCCTCAGCCACTTCTTCATTTTTTTAAGCACTGTGTTCTTCATAGGTGAACCCACAGAGTTCAAATGTAGAACTCGCCAAGCCCTCTTCGGCATAAGTTTTGCACTCTGCATTTCATGTATTTTAATAAAATCACTAAAAATTTTACTAGCCTTTAGTTTCGATCCCAAGCTGCAGAATTTCTTGAAATGTGCCTATAAACCTATAACCATTGTATTCATCTGCACTGGGATTCAGGTTATCATTTGCACCTTTTGGCTAATATTTAGGACGCCTTTTGTAAAGCAAAATTTCTCTATTCCGAGAGCCATCATTCTGGAGTGCAACGAGGGCTCTGTTGTGGCTTTTGGGATTATGCTGGGTTACATAGCTGCTCTAGCCTTCATCTGCTTCATATGTGCCTTTAAAGGCAGGAAGTTACCAGAGAACTACAACGAAGCTAAGTTCATAACATTTGGCATGCTAATTTACTTTATAGCATGGATTGTATTTATCCCTGTCTATGTAACTACGTTTGGCAAATACCTACCAGCGGTGGAGATCATTGTTATATTAATATCCAATTATGGGATTCTCTGTTGCACTTTCTTTCCTAAGTGCTATATCATAATTTACAAGCAAGAAACAAATACAAAGTCTGCCTTCCTCAAGATGATTTACACGTACTCTTCCAAGAGTGTGGGCAGCATTGCTGTCAGCCAGATTTCCTTGGACTCGAAGTCTTCCAGCTCCCGAATCACTGCGTCAGACTCATGTAATGCTGAGAAAAGCTCTGTGAATGGAAACTGCCATATTCAAGTGCCTGGGCAGGCACCAGTAAAAGAGAAAGTTGCTTCTAAAAGTGCAGCAAGGACTCTGTCCAGGAAAAGGCTGTCCAGCATATGACTGGGCATTGCTGAAGTACTAGAAGAAGAAAAGCCATTCTCCTTCAGATCTCTCTCTTTTTGGTACACCCAAGGAAAGCACACCGTGCAAACCATACTCTGATGGTTATTCATTGCTAGGTTTGAAAGGCTTTCCTTGGAACCCCAGCTATTGTGGGGACCTCCAGCATCTCTCCCCTGTCTCCCTCCCCATCCCCAACCCATTCATACAAACCACCAGAGCCAGGACCTCAATGCTCTCAGCCAAACACAAGTGTCAGCAAGGCCTTACTTCTCACAGACAAGCAGGCAGGAATGCATGGACTCACACAGTTTTTCTAATGTCTTTTCTACCCAATTTCTTAAGGAGCTCTTCTTCTCACCTGGATCTGTTTCACAGGTCAAACAGAGCCCCCTCCTACTCTTTGTTTGCCAGGATAAACAAGCCCAGTCCTATTGTCTCCACTTTTAAGATAGGCTTTCTATTCTCCTGAACATCCAAAAGCAACTTTTTCAGCCAGATTGAGTGAATCCTTTGTTGGTTTTAAATTCCGTGCCCAAAATTGTGTGCCTTATTCCATATGGGTGCTGCAGCAACATCTAAAGTTCCTTGTATTTACTATAGAGACAATGAATTGAAGAAAGGGCTGTGTAAAAATAGAAGGATTTACCCGGACTGCTGCAGTTGTTTGTAGGCTCACTTACTTTTTTTCTGTACTCAGAAATACACTGATTTGCCTGCCTCACACACTTTCTCTAACTCATGTGGAGAGATGACCCATTACACTTGTCCCCAGATATCCTCTTTTTTGAAGGAACGAAATTTCCTTCCTTCCACAATATGCAACATCAAGGCTTACAAGCATAAATTGATTCCCTTCATTAGCATAAATAATGTAATAATCAGAATCAGCATGAATGCACCCTGTGAATTTTAGCTTAATTGACACTCGTTCAGAAAGTCTAACTTTTACAAGAACATGGCATTACACCACTCCAGTGCATTAAAATCACACCAGAATGAGCTGCTCTGGAAGTCTCTGCTCTGCAACTCCATGAATATGGCTACACAGCATCTTCTGTGCAAGAGGCACTCTCCAGGAGGGAGGACTGTCAGCTGGGACAGCCACACTGCATCTCCTAGTCAAGGATGGCCAAGTCTTGTGCTGGGCAGGGCACAGCTTTCCTGTGGAGCTGTCTCACAGCTGGGATGGAGGAGAACATCTTCAGACACTGAGCAGCAGAAGGCTTTTGAAGAACATTTCTATGTGTTCATGAGGCCCCTGGCATGGACCAGAGAAACCCCGCTTTGCAACATTAACTGCAAAAAGATGCTTACCTCTTCAGTTTGATCCATGCTTCTGTTTAGATGTGGAATGATGGTATATTGTTGCCGGCCAAAATATAGCTTGGCAGACTTGTTGTTGCATGTTGTGTTATTGTTATATGCAATAGATCTATTTTTCAGCATTTCTATTTATATGCCGCAACCGACATCTGCATGATTTTCCTACTCAGATTTGTTTAAAATGTCTACAGATAAAATTTCAGCAACGGACACAATTTCTGAAATCACTATGATGCAGACTTACATAAGTTATGCAAATCTGGGAAGACAGTTTTTAAGTAGTATGAATGGCAAGGGTGTAATTTATATATAGATTTGAGCAATTATGTACTTTCTGCAGCCGACTGGAAAATGCTGCAGGTTTATGCACGTACATTTGTACAATAACTGCTGTTTGTGCTTCAGTGGTTGTGAGTACTGTTCGGAACAACAAACCTACGTGCAGTGAGGTTTGGCTGCTCCTACAGTTTGGCTGCCAATGTAGCAAAAAGAAGAACACAAAGCTTTCATCACATGATGAGTTCCAAAAAGCTAATTTGGCTAATAGTTTGTACATGTATTTACTGTTTTCAAAAGCAGTGAGCATATCATTTATTGAACACTGGGGTGATTAAAGTCATGTCCTTGTTAAAAACTGAATTGGCTTGCTTCATTTCCTCATCTGCAGGCTGGTTTGGCCGCGAGAAGCAGTAGCAGAACCCCCTTTCGCTGCTCCCACCCGCCAGAAGCCGGGGCGCCGAGTGCGGTCAGGCGGTCCCCCCTACGGGACAGGGAGGGAAGTGCCTCCAGAGGGCGGTGGCAGCAGTATGAGCGTCCCGCAGCGCCTATCCGTAATGAAAGGGATCGCATAAGGCAGAAATTCAGGGGAAGAGCAAGAAAAAGCGAATACATCCCATCCTCCTAGGAACCTCTCAACTGCATGCACACCTCTGGTCCACTTCTCCAGAGCCATCAAGCCCCCTTTGTCCATGACTTCCATGAGCTCTCTGTCTCTCCAGCAGCTCACAACTTCTGTGCAGAGCATAATCAGCCAGACCCGGGAGAGGTGATGCAATAGGTTTTTGGCAGAAAATGCTCATAAAATTAAGTAAAACAAAATGAAATAGACAAAAAGATTCCAATTTCCTTAAACATCTGAGTAGATGTGAGTGTAGGGACAAAGGGGATGATTCTTCTTTCCAGACCAGGGCATGCTCTGCCTTCTTCCTTTGGAAAGATCCCACCACAAATTGCCACATTGCTAGTGTGTGTGTGTGTCCATCTTCAAGGTTTTTTTTTATCTCTGAAAGTGTCAGAGAGGACACATGCCCCCCAAACATTGATGTTCAGGGAAGTCAAGAAAACAGAAATGATACTTGTTAGAGTGTGAAGCTGCACTATTCGCTCTTTGGGGTTGTATGTCATTCATTGCAATAATGCTGAATAATGGACACTGAAGCTCTTGGTCACTTCTTTTGGTGCTTTTTCATCTCCCCAGAGACATCATGTAAAAGGGCAGAGCTGTTCTGTGCACGTGCAGAGGTGCATGTTCTTTCTCCCTACAACTGTTAAGGGACACGAGAAAGCCAGTGCCTGGCTTTTGCACAGGTCTAAGATAAACTTGGTTTGTTTAAAGAAGTCCCATTTGCAGGAAATTTTATTCCAGTATAGAATGTGGGAAGTTGGTTTTCATTTTCTTGACAATTTGCTGTCAGAAAGAGCTGCCTAACTCAGGCTGTGCTGCTGAGAACAGGGAATAAAGTTCTGTCTACAAATGATTCACGAATTCTGCCTCACACTCTCCCACTGAGCACAGACCTGCATGCTGCCACCTCACAATGCAGCCCTGATGAACAGGGCCCCATCCGTTCTGCTAGCACACCTTTGGAGAATTTATGGCATTCATTGTGATAACAGAAAACAATAAATTCTGGGGTTCTGGCATTGACTGGATCACAGAATCATAGAATCACAAAATGCCTTGAGTTGGAAGGGACTCATAAGGATCATAAAATCCAGCTCCTGGCTCCACACAGGACCACCCAAAAATCAGTCCATATGTATGAGAGTGCTGTCCAAATGCTTCTTAAACTGTGGGCATCTTAGGGCTGTGACCACTGCCCTGGGGAGCCTGTGCCAGTGTCCTGACCACCCTCTGGTGAAGAATCTTTTCTGGATAACCAACCTGACCTTGCCTGTCATGACTGGGAGATGTAACACCACCTGCTGATCCACGCACTGGGAGTGCTCCAGCTGAGACTATCTTGCACAGCACTGCCACAGGCTGCTTGCTAAATACATATTCCGTACCGCTTTCCAGACTTCCTTTTAATGTTTGTTTGTTGTTGTTATTTGTTTTCCCCAAAGGATATTTTGGTACTGTGTGAGCTTGGACCGCCCTGAGTGTTTCTCTCATCAGTCCCATATGACTGCTTTAAGGTGGGCGGGTGAAGTGGAGGCAGGCAGCTCCTCTCAGCCCCCCAGAGCTGAGCTGGGCAGAGCAGAGCAGAGCAGAGCAGAGCAGGGCAGAGCAGAGCGAGGGACCTGGCGCTGCGGTGCTGCCCGGCCGTACCCATGCTGCCACTGCCGCTGCGCCTCCGCCCCGGGCGGCTGAGAGGTGCCCCGCTGCTCCGCTCGGCCGCACTAAGAGGAGCCGCCGCCGGCGACGGGCCCGGGCGGGGCCCAGGAGACCCCCGAGGTAAGGACAGGGCTAGGCTGGGGATTGAAGGCCCCCCACGGTCACCCTGGCTTCGTTATTTTGCCTTCTGGCTTAAATGCCCAAGTGTGAGTCTGTAGGTAGAGGGATGTTTGAACGAGAGCCACAAGGATGCTCCCCAAGGGAGGTGGTCCAAGGGCTGTGCAGAGGGAGAAGCACCTCCATCCCTCTATCCCTGGAGAAGCTCAAGGCCAGGTTGGATGGGGCAATGGGCAGCCTGAGCTGGTGGGGCAGCTCAGCTCTCAGCAAGGATATGAACCCGGATGGGCTTTAGGGTCCCTTCCAACACAAATATAATTCTGTGGTATGATTCCTCCTCTGGCCACTAGAGCACTAAGAGGGATTTGCTCTTTCCACTCATTACTGCCACTCATCATGGCCTGATGGGGTGTTTCTTTCCAATCCTTCAGCTGAACAGGCACACAAGGTGGTTGCAAGCTACAAACCTTCAAAGTTTGACAAAAAAATCCTCCTGTGGACCGGTCGCTTCAAAATGGAAGAAGAAATTCCTCTGAGGATCCCGTAAGTTTATTCCAAGGGTGGCACTGGGTTGAAGGGCATGAAGCAGAGGGTGCCCAGCAGAGCACTGCTGAGCTCAAACTGGGAAGAACTTTTGGCACTGAGAGCTTTGAAATGAACTAGCAGGAAGAAAACTCTCCTGTGTTGCTGACAAGTTAGAAAAAATGTTCCCTACTGGAGTCCCCAGATGCTGTAATTAAGAATTGGACTCTTGCCTTGGTCTCTGCATGTTGTTGGTATACATCCACACTGCCTTGTTTGTTTATTCCTGATGTGTAATCAGAGAAGGATGTTATCATAAACTGCATGTTCTATTTATTGCCCCCATAAACAGCTCTAAGGGAGCTGAGAGCCACTAAATGATTGCATCAGCCAAACTGCAATTTATTATAGCTTAAAGAAGAATATGAGGAAAAAAAAAAAATAGATACAGAGGTCGTGAGAAAAAAATCCCCAAAGGCAAATCCTAGGACAGTTGAATACTTGAGGCAGCCTCAGCCTCTGGTTGACCCCTGCTCACCTCAACTTGCTGTAAGTTGCTTTTCCCAAGGTCTCCAGGACCACTTTGTGCCATTGCAGCACACAGAACTGTATGAACCACTGAGGGTGTCCCCCAGCCTTTCCTTCACCTGTTTGTTCCCAGCAGTGTTGTTGCTGCTTCTGGGGCTGAGCAGCAGCTTTACCAACAGCAGAGTGTCCAACTGCTCTTGCTCAGTGCTTATCCCACTGCCTTTTCTTACAGGAAGGTCCAGGCAGGTCTCAGAAGCATTATTTGCACTACTGAAGTCATTGAAAGGTGTTTGTAAAGGTACTCTGCTAATCCCTGCACATGTGCACAGTAACCACTTGGACAGACTTTCTACCTTCTGTGTGAGCAACGCATTTCTAGGAGTCACCACAACATTCTAAAATAAGTTAGTTTTAAGACATTGAAGTTGAACTGTATCAGTTTTCAGTGTTAATAAAGCACTGCAAGAAACTGTTTGCTACCTGTGAACAAAATGTGGCTGCTGAAGATGTGTGGTAAGATGAGGGTCAAACCTGCAGCCCTCACTCAAAATGTTTATATCAATGACAGCAAACAGCTGTTACTGCCTTCGGCAGAGGCTTAGCCAGGACCTTGATGAGGGATAGAGTAACAGAGTCCTTAATGTGCAATTAGAGGAGATAATAAGGTTTGTTCTCCTTAAAGCAGAGACAGAAAGCTAGGAGAAAGTGAAAACCTGCTTCTGAAGAATTTCAATTAGTGCACTGAGAAATATAATTAGGTTTATAAGCCAGACCAACAACACTTAGAGCTTTGCTTTTGTTCTTACAAATGGCTTCTGGATTAATGGCTTTAGGTGGCAGTCTGTTGTGCGGTTTGTTTTAAAGATGTTGTGCTTACATTGTAATGTGAAAGGGGTTTCTTGTAACCATTGCATTGCCAGCCGTTAGCCAGCAACCTGCCCTGCATCCGGGTGCGTGCGCTGTAAGCACTGGGGGAAGTACAGCAGAGCTGCCTGTAATTTGTCCTTTTCATTGTGTTAAACCTTTGAGAAACATGTATATATATATATATATATATACATATATATATATGCATATTTGATGTATTTAAAACCAATTTAAGAAAATAAAGGAAAATAGCACACATTCAGTACTATAACAAATATCATAGAAACAGTGTTTGCCAAGTGCCACGTCTGGCTCAGGGAATGACTTCACTGAAATTTCTGTATGTTTGCAGTGATGGGGAGGTTTCCTGTGTTCCTGGTTCTCATAAATCCCCCTACATCACACTGTGAGCTTCAGGTGCAATTTGTAGCATGTTTACCTCAAGCACTTCAGTGCAAATGTTTTTTATTTTTTTTTTCATATTAAAATATTCCACAATCCTTTAAATGTCATTTTTTCTGCTGGAAATGGTTAAGGGTGCACCTGGGTGGTACAAACCCAATCACCACAGCCATAGATGCTTCTTTCCAGAGTCGATTTATTTCCACTCTGCAGTAGTGATATTTACAACTGTGAGATCTTGAGAAATGCTTCCATTTTTTAATGACTCCGTTCCAAAACTTTAATTGCAGGCCAGAGATGCTAGACAGGGCAAGGAACAAAGCCCGTGTTAAAGCTTGTTACATCATGATCGGCCTTTCAATTGTTGCCTGTTTTGCAGTGATTGCTTCAGCAAAAAAGGTGAGCATACTGCTGGCTAGCTTCTGTGTAGCATACCTCAAAGTGGTGGCATTCTGTGAGAACTTAGGGTAACAGTGCTCCCATTGCTTTGAAACAAAAGCATTAAGTTGGTGGTTAATCCCGAGAAGCATTAAATTGGTGGTTAATCCCGAGACCTGGCCCATTTCTCCATGCCAATGGTGACTCACAACACTACTCTCAAGAAGGGCTTTCCTTCCACAGGCTGCAGCACGGCACGAATCCCTGACAAGCTGGAATTTGGCAAAGAAGGAGAAGTGGAGGAAAGAGGCCGCACTGGCAGCAGAGTCAAAGCCAAAATAACTTTGTGAGATGCCTCGTGTCCTTGCAGGAGCAAAGTTAACAGTCAAGAGAGGTTAGTGAATTTCACCACCAAATGGACAACTTTAGCATTGCACAAACAGAAACTAACAGCAGCGATTCTGAGATCACAGAAACTGAGGCTTTTGTTGAAGATAGCACACACACTTGCACCTGATTAAAACCAGAGTGCGTTGCACATGATTAAAACCAATAATTGCAAAGAAGATGAGGTAGACGCCTAAGAATGAAAAGTAAAGGGCTTGCCAAGTGCCCACAATCTGCCCTAAAACCTTTCTTTCAGGCTTGACATTGAGTTCTACTAAAAAGATCAGAGTTCCTTACTGGAAAACCTAGTTGCATTTTCTTAGTGAAAGGTTAAGTACAGCAAAGACCAAACAGTACTGAAGTAACAATACTGAAACTGCAAAAATAAGGGGACAAACAATGAATTTTTGTAGTGCTAAGCATGTAACAAACTAATTGGCAAGAATGCTTCAAAATTTTACATACTGAGAGAAGGCTTGGGGAAGGAAGGCAAGGGAAACAAATTGGTGATTACCAAATTCTCTAGTCCTTAAAGACTTCACTAAGAATTTCCCAAACGAGTGGTCAGTTCTACACGTGATCATCATACAACTGTATGTTTGGTCAGATGTTTAAAAATCTATTTAAAAACAAGAGGTGCTTGGCCAAAGTGCACAAACCAGCCTTTCCAAATTCATTTTTCTCAATGTTGTATTCAAAACGGCATTCGTGTTTTCCAGCCTAAGAAGCCACACTCATTAAAACACCAAACACAGCACGCTTCTGCAAAATAGGTTTTTATTGGTTTCTGTATGGTATTTGGAGATTTAACATTCCCTAAAATTGCATACTACTCATACGTGTTTTGTTACAGTAACTGGCCTTTGGCCTGGATTCAAAGATGCACTATTGCTATCTGAAGATAATACAGGTACGTTAAGTCTGCACACGTTATATGAAGATCTTGTGCGGTAACTGAAATTTCTCATTCCAGATTTCAGTGAATTCTTGAGGTCACTGTTGAAATTTCATCAGCTGGCAGACCAATGACAAAAATCCTCAGTTGGACAATTTATTAAATTTAAACCAACTGAGAACTAGCCACGAAAGAAAGACAATAGTGCATCTTTTTATTTTACTTATTTTTAAGACAGACCTGACAACAGAAACTTTCCAGTTGCCAACTTCTCCTACAACTTATTTCTGGGCCAACATTATTACTATCTTTTGATTGCTGCTAGCAACAGTTTTTAAAGCAAATACTGGAAAATTAAAAAGCTGTATGAACCAGTCCTCAGACAAAAGTGCAACGATGAAAAACTTAGATATGATTCAGTGTGTCAAGAGTAGGGAACTGAAAAATAAATTCCATGCTTTGCATAGTTGCATAGATTAGCTAGCTGGTATTCACATTTAAGCAAAACAAAAGGTGCCCAATACCCAAACTCTCCAAAACTGTATTCTGAAACAGACTTCACAACTGACGGGGCACATCAGTATATCATACAAACACCAAAATGCTTTTTTCAGTTGGTTTTTTTTTTTTTTCCTTCAGTGGTTTCATCTGTTTAGGCAACATTGTTATGCTCACATCTCTACTGACAGGTGACTACACCAGAGCTGACTGTAAGACATCATCTTTTTATACTGTTCATTAATGTGCTTTTAACCAAATGTGCAAGAAATCCAATGATAAAACAGGAAGGACCATTTTTTATGCTTACAAAGACATATTTTTTTGAACAACGTCAGAGTAAACCAAGTGTTGAGTTCAAATAACTGTTTCATTAGCTAAAGCCCATCACTTTTATCTCCCTTTTAAGCTATTACACTTAAATATATCAGACATGAAATATATTTACCTAAATGCATAAAGTGCAGTCACTAACTGTTCAGACAACATACCCACAAAACTGAAGACATTCTTTCAAAACAAATATAATACTTTGTACACCCCCTCATTTCATTTTCAAGCCTTCCAATCGAGATTTTTATAGTTCAGATTTTGGTTTAAGTTAGAGAGGCTTATAAATGCAGTGTTTGTAAGGTCCTCCAAATAAAAAGCAGGCACAACTGGTTACATAACATTACCAAAACAAGTTTGTTAGAAATAATGGAATACCCTGTTACCTGAATTCTTTATTTCTACATTAGAAGAACATAGAAATTCAGCATTTACTAACAATCGTAGTACATTTCCATGATCACTACCCTGTACTTTGAACAGATGGTGAGAAGGAAGGTCAGCATACGCAAACTGAAAACTGTAAGAGTAAAAAGGGCACAAATACAATCATCTAATATTATATGAAAATTTGGCAGCTGTAACTCAGATTATCACGCTATTCAAAACCATTGTATGCTGTACAAATCTAGGTTTAAAGTGTCATTTGATAAAATATCTCATTATTCAGAGTTCATAAAGTAACAGCACTCCTATATACACACCTCTTACACGTCTAAATTCCAGTACAAAGACTTCAAAAAGAGACTTCATTCCTCCCAGTTACATCTTAGTCAAAACTGATCATTAATCTTAAAAAATCCACTTCAAGTCCCACATTCAATTACAATACAATTATATATTGCTGCAACATCAAAGCGAAACATCTTAGAATCCTAACTTGCACGTAAAAAAAATCTAGATATAAAACGGTACTGTAGATGATATCACCTTTAATACATATTTTTCAGTGCATTAAAATATTGTGCACAGTGCCATGGGATAAGTAATTTCATGTTTAAACTGCAGCTTTTTATGAAGTATGAAATGCTGTCATATGCCAACTCACTTAACCCAGGAGTTTGAAGATAATACATTAATTACAGATAAAAAAAAGAAATCATACTTTAGTTAATCCAAAGTATTAGTTTATCCAAATGAAACATCTACTGATATTCCAGAAACACTGCATATATGCAAGTCCAAGCACAGCACACATTCTTCTGTACTCAAAACTGTTAACGTGAATATTAGAATTCTGTTTCTGTTAGTGTTTAAACAGCAAACACTGTGCACTGCAGAGCCTAAATATTTAGAATACAGTAACTTCTAGTTAGTTTTGGTGTCCACAAACTTAATGTGTATTTACAGTATAACAAATTGTCAATTAGCTGGAAAGGAGTGATTCTCTACTCACTCCTCCTTGCAGTATTTTCATTGTCTTACCAGAAGAGAACTGAGTTAGCTAACTTCCAGAACAACTCAAGTGGTGGTAGCATATTTAATCAAAAATGTAACACCTACTTTCTCAACCTTTAAGAAGCTACTGTTACTAGAAAGACTAACACTGCAATGTTTCCCCAACTGAAGTGCTGTTACTACATTTTGGCAGGAGACAGCTGTAAACCATCTGCTTTGTATTTCCAACTGTACAAATGACCATCTCTGTCATCCATGATTGCAGCATTCTTGTGGTAACTACAGCAACCACTTCCACAGCAAAGTATTGTATTTGTGGCTGACTTTAAATGCCATTTAGCAGCTTTAATTACAGAGCAAGCACCAAGTGACCAGCAAGCCCTCTGCTGATTCCAATTTGAAAACTTCTGAAACAGTCTCTTCCCACATAATTGTGTAAAAGCTTTTTCAGGTACTCAGTATTACATATTGTGTAATTATCATTATATATATGTATTTATGTCTTTAAATACATTTTATAAATAAATTCCAACAGCGTGTGGTAAAGTAAGTAACGTGTGGAAGTTTCATAATTTAAATAAATATTTTTCACATTCCAATTCAGCTTCTAACAAGCTCATCTTTATTTCATGCCTTAGTTCTGAAGCAATGTTCAATGCTTCAATACAAGAGGTAGATTTGATAGACTGGGCAAGTCAAGCCTACTGCCAAAAATACAACTGTCAGTAACTGTATTGCTGATACGGAGTTTGAGACTACAAGATTCAGAACTACTGCCTAAAATCCTTTTAAGTCTTAGCTTAGCAGTTCCTGTTAAATCACATGTAATGTTTTACTTTAGACATGATTACTCACAGTTGTTTTCTGTACATATGAGAATCAAAAAAAAAAAAAAAAACAACAAACAAGTACAGAACAAAGAACAGTTGTATCTAACAAAATACAAAAGTGCATGAGCTGCTTCTTCATCTATTTCTGCAAAACATACTCAAATTTCCCTCTACCTTTGGCCATAAAGAAAAGACTTCAGGAACACAAACAAAAACTCTACAAGTGTATACATTTTATACTTGTCTTCACTTGAATAGTTCACAACTGAAATCCCTCCATTGGAGCCTCCTGCTGTTGGAAAACGAACTGCTGCTGACTTTCATCCACCTGAGGTGCAATACTGGAATCCTCTTCTTCAACGCCAAAGTAATGCTCTATGAGTTCAAAAGCCTTTTGGTAGATCTCCTGGTTTTCATGTCTCTGAAGAAATTCAATTTTATCAAGTCCTAAGTTCAAAACAAAACATTTTCATAGTCTAGTTTCTTCAGAAGAATTTAAAGGGAAACTGATTCTAAGGATGAAAACTTTCTGGTGGTACTTAGATGAACTGAGATGGTTTGGGGTTGCATTTCTTTTATTTGGTATAACTGATTTTCACATACAATCGTGTGGTTGTGTTTTTTCTTTTTCTTTTTTCCCCTCCCTTTCTATTCTTTTTGCCTTTTTTTTCCCCACACCAAATGCTCCTAATGGATATATTACTGAATTTCTTAACCCACATATCTTTATGTTTCGTTTTCTGCAACTTCTGCTGTTCAAACTATTTTTCATGCTAAAAGAATATAAATTAATCTAGGGAGGAAGTGCTTATTGTACCTACATAGAATTTGTATACACAGAAAGCAAGTAAGTACGCAGTCACAACAGCATAAAACTGCTTGCCACAGCCATTTCCAGTACCCTCATTCCTTTCCTTTCACAGTCTTCAAAAACACTAAATTCTATCATCACATCTATCAGCTTACTATCGCTTTTTTCAAATTTCCTCTGTAATTTGATGATGCTTTGTTTCCAAAGGCTTATCACGTGCAAGCAGGAGGAAATAACCTGCTGTCAGAGTACCTGGAGATCAGGTAGATGAAGACTCAGAATTCATTTTTAGCTGTTTAAGATGTTTCAGTTTCAATTTACATCAAATTTGGAAGGGCTAAAAAGAAATTCTTCTGGTTACGATAGAGGCTGGAGAAATAAGTGTGATGCCATCAGCTAATTCCCCTACTCAGCTCCAACAGCTTACTCAACTAGCAAATTTATTGTCTAGGTTCTCTATGTGTAAGTGAAATTTAGAACAGACTTTGGACAAGATTTGGACCAGAATAAATTTCATTAAGCCAAATAAATACTTTTATTCCTCTTATATGTTAGGCTACAAAGAAGGTCCTGCAGGTTGCAGATTTTAGAAATGCAGCTCCTGAACAGAGAATTCAGATTTAGTGCCTACTTGGAAGAAAAGTTAGTACTATCCGGTCAGATATAATACAGTCATCCAGAACTGTTATGACCAGTTGATGAAACACAAACATCTGCCATTTTTATGCTGTCAGAAATTACAAAAAGATAAGCCTCCATAAATAATGCTGAACTCATTATGATAACAAAATTGATGTTTAAATTGTAAGTCAGAAGTACCTAGCCATGAAATTCAACAAATGTAATTTTAATTTTGATAGTTTAAACTGCTTTTGAAATACAGTTTAATTCCACAAATCCTAAAAGAAACAGAACAAAATACTTCCACGTATACTCATAAACTTATTATGAACTCTTGCAATTACTGATATTTACTATATTAAAAAGTGACTGACTTCAGGAATAAACAGAACTACCTCTGACCATTCATCCCTATACAGTAATGAAACTGAACAGGACAGAATTATATATTAAAGTAATAAAACTATGCTGCAGGTTTAGGTGATAAATTTATGCCAATACTTAATCTGCAATGATTTAAAGTCTACTTACGTTTGAAGTAAAAATTCTTATACTCACCAAAATAGTTTACTACATTTTTTACATTTCCCTGGAACAGGTTAAGTTTAGGTATGTAGCCTTGCAGTAAGCAAATTCTTACCATATGCTTCCTCTATAAGGGCACAATAAGGATTAATGCCCATTCCATTTTGCTTAGACTCTTGTTCTCCAAGACGCAGAATATTTTCAAGTCCATTCAAAGCCACCTGTACTATTTTTGAATCCATCACAGTCAGGAGGTCACAAAGAGGCTTGGTACAACCTAGTGCTACCAAATACCTTTAGGACAGCAGAAAAAACAGAAGAGGTTAGGGTGGAAAAGAAGGTCTGATAAACCAGCACATTTACTCTTATATGACGCCGTTACACATTAGCCATGATTTTGTTATAAAATAAATGGTTGAAACAACTGCAACAAATAATCTAAAGCATGAAACACAAAGATAACCTCAGTCTGAAATACAATAAATATTCTAATTTATCCTAATGAGAAAATGTAATGTACATTCCTAACAGGACTTGCACATTTGTAGTCTATTCAACTTCTTTCCACTTATGGTCCTCGGATGGATTTGAATGAGTACATGAGAAAATGACAGTATTGGCAGTAAGTTCTTTTCTCAGGCATTAGAAACTTTGCAGAAAAAAAAAAAAAAAAAAAAAAAAAAAAAAATCACACAAAGTAAGAAGAGGGGACATGGCTCTGAACCAACACAGTTCATATTGTTAGCCCATCAAGATACCAGTCCAATTATCCACTGGAAAGGATATAACAGTAAATACAACAAAGTACTGTGATTCTAAGCAACCTTTTTCCAGTTTTGCACAAAATCCTACCTAACTTCTGGAAGACGTTACTTATGTCCTTGTTTCCAGTCTGCATGGAAAACAACGACACTAATGTCTGTCTGAATCAAAGGATTGTTTAAATATTTATCAGTTGTTTTAAATTATCCTGCAGCTGGACAGTAGTATCTTGGGGATCTTAGAAGTGCTAAAATTTCTTGACAGTGATAGCTGTCATGAAATTTAGCAACTCTGTACTTTATGGTAAGAAGCAACTTTTGTGCTATTACATACATGATATATGTTTGGTCTTTGAAGATCTACTATTAAATTTAAGATAACACATTGTGCAAGCTATTAAAATAACAAAAACAAACCCAAACTACCAACAATAAATGCACAATACCAAAAAACCTTCCTTACCACAACAAGTAGTGGCAGTACAGTAAGAAAATCAGAATGAGATTTTTTTTTTTTAAATAAACAAACATGCAGTTATTGCAACAAATCTCCCAAACACGCTGGTGGAGTTGCTACATAATTTTGTGCACTCAGGTTTTTAAATTTTTAATACTTTACATGATCATTTTAGAATCCATTTATCAGCTATTGATTGAAATGGATCAGTTTGTTAATGGCTCTCTAGTTTCTCAGAATGTGTTTTATTCTAGTTATTCAACAGGTCCACTGTCTGTAGTATTTTGATAGTTGTCAAGTAGATTTTTAATCAAATCCCATTTTGGAAAAAGTTAGCTATCAGCATGAAGTAACACTGTTAGTGAATTTATGTACATGAAGAAACCACTGAAACTCCTAAGTCCTCCTACAGAGAGATGCAATCATATTGCACAAGCTTTCTAAACAGCTGTCCTAAAGTTTTCCATTTTCAAAACACTCACACTGTTTGATGAATGTTTAAATAGTGCCTGACAGCATAACATTGACTCTGGAAAATAATCCCATGAAAGGTTTATGTCTAACACCCCAAAACCAAATTAATTGAGTTAGTTTATTAATTCTACTGCATAAATTTTCCTATTTTTTTTCTGAGCTTCTATATGTTTAAGTCAGCATAGACAGAGCTTAAAAAAAATTATAGTTATGCTTAGTTTTTTGTTCCTCTGTTTGTCAGGATTCAATTTGAGGAAGAACATGCCTTAGAAAAGGTATCTAGGCAGAGAAAACAATACCACAGCTTACCTAATCTGTTCAGGGGTTCCTCCTGATGTTGCATTAGTTATGGCCCATGCTGCCTCTTTTCTGGTGCGAAATTCAGCTTTCTGAAGAATCTCAATCAATATTGGAAAAATATTTGCATCTATAACTGCCTAAGAAACAAAAAGAGGGTAACGATAATTTATAGAGGTTAACATACAGAGGGCAAAAAGATTAATAACCTCACTACAGTGGTAAGCAATGCCTGTTCATATCAAAGGAAGCAATGTTTTCTTAGAAGGCATCCCACTAACTACAAATGCTAAAACAAAATTCAGAACTATTCCAACGTTGCAATTAGTTGATTTCTCTCTGGTGATCAGGATACACCTTACCAGATAGATCTACTGAAAAATCATGTGACATAAGCACAAAATTTGAAATTTTGAACTAGAAATCAAGCCTCACTTGATCTCAACAGAACTTCACTTTGGCAATTTTATTCAAGACATTCAAAACTTACACAGAATTATAGACTGTTAGGACTACAACAAGTAATGCAATCAATGTAGCATCTTATTTCCCTTTGTGAATGAAAATCAAATAAAATAGTAAAAACAAACCCACCCAAATTGCTATACATAGTTTGTACCTGAATTTGAGCTCTGTTTCCTGCAGTAATATTAGAAACAGTCCAGCACGCTTCTTTTCGAATAGATTCCTTGGGACTACTAAGCAAATGCAAGAGACAGGGCAATGCAGAGCAATTTAGAATCACCTAAAATAATTGGAGAATTGAAGATTGATTTGCGTATGTATATGCACAGATGAATCACATTACAGGTAAATTCAAAAGAGGTGTACTTTGCAACACGTTTATGTGACAAAAAGTATCAAAAATAACATCCAGCATTTGCTCAATACTGTACCATCTGAATACAAATCCAGTTGTCCATACAATTTGAAAGAAACTGCCCTCAACTAAGTTCACATCAGAAGACTAAAGACACCAAGATTGCATAAGGCTGCCTAGTGCCAGAGCATGTATTTTTACACGCCTGAGAAGTGTAAACCTAATTTTTCACTCTTTTTGAAGGGATATATATTTTCTAATTCCTTAATGAAATCTGCTCCAATAGAGCTCACAATAAATTAGGCAATTACCTGATTTCACTATTTTCCTTTTACGCTAGTACTGTAGGCCTTGCAGGCACAATTTTCTTCAAAGGACCTTGGTAACTTTCTTGCACTACTTCAAATTCAATTCTACTTTTCAAAATTTAAACAAAATGTTATCTCTGTAACAAACTTTTATCAGACTATCATACACAAGTTTATGAACAAAACAAGTGTATGCACTGCTTAAAACAATGAGAACTTTGCATTTGAAGGCTTGAAAAAGGGAACTGTAACACAACTGAATCCCCCAATTAGGAAAATAAATAATTCCACCATTAATGGAAAGCAGCATTTGAAATACCATACAAGAACGAAGCAATCTGAACAGTGAATCTATTACAGCAAACAATGCTGTAATAAAGTGCAGGAATTTTATGATTAAAATACCATACTAAACTAAATGTCAAATGAGCAGTACAGATTTGTAGAGCTTCCTTCAATTTCATATCACAGAACCTTTTGAGTTGGAAGGGACCCTTAAAAGCCATTAGCCCAACTCCTCTGTCAGGAACAAGGACATCTAAAGCTCCACCAGGGTGCTCAGAGCTTCATCAGCATGACCTTGAACACCTCTAGAGACAGGGCTCCCACCACCTCTTTTAACCAACCTTTTTCCAGTGCCTCACCATCCCTACTGTAAAGAATTTCTTATGTCCAATCTAAATCTCCTGTCTTTTAGTTTGAAACCATTCCCCCTTGTCTTACCTCAACAAACTCTGCTAAAGAAACTGTTCCCTTACTTCTTATAGCTCTCCTTTAGACACAGAAAGGCCATTATCAAGTCATTCTGGAACCTTCTCCAGGTTGAACAGCCCCAGCTCTCTCAGCCTGTCCTCATAAGAGGTGTTCCAACCCTTGGAGCATTTTTGTGACCTTAATGTATGTGGCCTATATATATGCAAACACTTGTATTAGACATGCATTCTATTGTAATTTAGTATGATATTTTTACAACTACTTTCCTTCCAGACAATTTTTTTTTCTTAAATCAACGTCTTACCTGCGTTTGAATATCATCACCAGTAACAATATTTCCAACTGCTCTTAATGCAGGGGATACCACCTTGTAATCATTGTGCCTGGAGACAAATATTGCTTGATGTTAACAAGTAGCACAGTATAATTGTGAATTTTCAGTTAGCAGTGATTTGCTTTGGGTGGTAAACTTTTAGTTACAGAGAACACAGCATTACTTCATCCTGTTCTCCTGTTGTTTAAACAAGTTTCGCAAGTGCAACCAAACGGACCTGTACTATGTTGTCAGTGTTGGGAACTACCATCTGACCTATGTTGCAGTCCCCATTCAAACACGGGGATTTAAGTCTCCTTCTCAAGGAAAATAACAAACCATAAAATAAGTATTCTGCAACAGTTCAAAAGTAGCACAAGCCTTACTCCAGACTTCTTTAGTTCAAAAAAAATATATCAGTTTTCAACAAGAAAACATGCAACATGAAAATTAAAATTTTTAAGCTGAGAGATTGATTCACAATTAAAACTTCATCTTCAGTCAACACCTTTCTATTCTTCCATGCAAATGAAATCCTACTTCTTCTTATTATTTAACATCAAGGAGTATTTTAGAGAAAGCATATTTCACTGTCAACCGCTGAAAAAATCCCAGGAGCCAAGCAAGCTAGGAGATAGCTGAAAAGCTATCAGACTGATATGCTCATTGTTTCATAAAAATAAATTCAGATTTCAGGTGAAAAAACACAACTCTGTTTGTATTCATTAACTATATCACAAGGCAGTTATTGGTAAAGAGAGAACTTACATAAGCAACTCTACCAATCTTCGGCACACTCCAGAATCAATAACAGCTTGGATTTTATCATTGGGTCCATCTGAAAGGTAAGAGAGGGCCCAGCAAGCATCTGCTAATACATCCGGATCACTGCTAAACAACAGTCTTGATAAAACATTTAAGCAAGGAGCAACCTGGGTTAAAGAAAAATGTTGCAAAATTAAGTGTTTTGTGTACTTCAGAAAACATTCTGCAAAGGCATATAAATGCAACACTATTTTGCATGTGACTATTTTGCACTGATGAACCATGAGTTCATCAGTGAAACAGGGCCTAGGTGAAACATTTTCTGATTAAACTAGACATCCAATTCAAATCAGCAAATTAGCTAAATTTCAATTAACAGCCTACTTACTTGCAGATACTACATTAGGTGTATGGTTGCTCAGCTTTAACAACTATCTGCTTCTAGAGATAATCAAGAATTACTGATGCTTTCCTGAATCACTCAAAAGAACAATCGTACAGAAGCACGATTTGTTATTAGTAATAATCAATTTGCAGTCACTTTAAGACAAAGAATCTAAGAGTAAAATCAACATTCACTGATTCAAACAAGCTATGGCTAACCTCCTTTCAACTAAAAGCTCTGACCCTAATACCCTTCAACTTAAAACCATTTCCCCTTGTCCTGCAGTTATCAACCCTTTCAAAGAGTTCCTAACTGTGTCCTGCTGGTACTATCGCTAAGGGCAAGAAGGAAAGGAGCTATTCTTATTAGCAGCTGCATACAGGATATCCTCCTCCACTAAAGTTAAAGTAGCTTAAGCAGCAAGGAATCTTTTTTTTTTTTTTTTTTTTTTTTTGCTGCCAGAATGAAACACTACTGGAAGACTTAATTTAGCTATACCAATTGTGAGGTGATTGATTAACTGGCATCAGAAATCTCCTTTTGTAGTGATTCCTGCAGAGAGATTAACAAGTAGCAACTCTGTATTCTGTGAGTGAAGTTTTAAGACACCCAAATTGACTCCAAATTACATTCAGCGATCATTTTAACAACAGCCAAAATACTCAACATGATATTCCATTTTCTACTGCCACTACCATTACCAGAAATTAAATTTCATACTGAAAATAAAAAGCTAATACTCCTAACTAGAGACAGTCTTACTGTCTCAAAAAGTGGAGATAAAGCGAATGAGAGAGGGCAAATCACCTCTGCCACAGTAGTCTGAATTAACTGAATTTTTTGCTCTATAAACAGCAAGGAAAATTTTATTCCTGCAATATCTTATTAAGTAATCACAGCATAAAAAAAGGAAAGTAAAAAAGAAAAGCTTCAATCATAACTCACATCCTCTAACACATACCTACAGAAAACACAGACCAAAAGGATTTGGTGCCACCAAAAGTACTCCTTGCTTGTCACTGCTTCAGTGAATGACTACCTGCATCTGACTAAATAACTTCTCAAACTTCTCAGTCATTTAATTATTTCATTTAATTGCTAACAGGTCAAAGTAGAAAATGTTGAGCAGATACAACAAATAGACTCAATTTTATGTTTTTAATGTGATCACACAGTCTTGTCTATCTCCAGATAGAAAGACCGCATTATATTACAAACAGAGGCTTCCTTTAGCTTTCCAATTTCTTGAAATGAGTACTTCATTATACCTTACTGAAGTCTGGAGGTGGATTCTTGCCTCTACAGAGATTTGAGAGTGCCCAGACTGCATTTCTAGTTGTGGTAAGACGATTTGAATTTGTTAACAGTCTGTCAAAGAGATAGAAAATAAAAATAAAAAATCGTTCCAAAGGTTTTTTCTCACCTACTATCATCAATGCCTTGTATCACAAAACAAAAAACAATCTTCTTATTGGGCACCAGTTCTACGTTATTTCTCTTTATAGTTTAAATGACACCGAATTATCTTAGAAGGGACTGTTATGTGCATAAACATCACATTCCTAAAACAAATACACACGCGTATGAAGTAAGCCGCTGCTCATATGAAAATAAAAAAAATCACCTGACTAATCCCTTTCAAAGTGGTTAGAAAATGCAACCTACCCTAGAGCTAACAGTGATGGTTTAATTCTTAAGACCCAATTAATATTTTAATAAAGGCTGCATAAAATATTAGAACTTGAAGATTTTTTTTTTTTCATTTGTTTTACTGTTTTTAACAGAATAGACCTGGAAAAATTCAATAGCTGAAAAATCAGGTTCACTTTCAGATACATATCAAAACTCATCAAACCCTTCAGCCTTTAAATCCTCAAGGAAAGCAATCACATTATGCTACTTTAAGCTGTTTTAAAAATGTTTTAAGTCAACTTGGTATTTTAAGTTCAAATAACTTGAATGCTAGTTGTGTTGGGTAGCTTTTTCCCCTGTGATCAAGCTACTTTATAGCCCACTGTAGAAGTACAGTAAGCAGTGGAATTATACTCGTAATGAAGAGAAATCTGTCAGTGGAACACTTCTCGTTTAACAAGCAGTCTGCTGGCACATCTCAGCAATCAAACACAGACTGAAGCTTGGAGCTACCAAACAAAAAAGCAGGGAAGCCAACCAGTTAGAATCACACACATGTATCACTTACATCATCTTTCCCACCTGATGTTGGTAACAATTTGTAATACTTACTCCAAGAGGGGTGGTAATATTCCACAGTTTAAGACGAAGTCTCTGCATTCTGCGTTATCACCGGCAATGTTACCAAGAGCCCACACTGCCTTAAAAATGAAAGCATCCAAGTGAACTTATGCATGTCTGCAAATCAGATATCTACATATCTGTACAAATAGTCTACATATTTTTACAGCTAACACAAGGGAATCCAAAAAGTCACAGCATAATTCTTAATATAACACTTCAGAAGACTACTGATTTATATTCTGAATTTTCTGTGAACTTATGCAAAGTCTGTAATATTACCTATTATGTGAAGATGAAAATACAGAAAAACTAACAAAAAACAAATTCAGGAAGACACTGATTAAGACTTTAAGAAGAAGTACCTAAGAAATAAAGCTGCGTTGTAATCTAGAACATTTTGTTTTCCACTATATTCTGTTACCCTGTTTTAGATTCCATCCACTTGTACACAGCACAAAAGAAATGAGGTGCTTTCCTCAGATTATTAAACAATATTAAAAAAAAAAGAAACAAAACAGGCTCATAAGGACTTGGAAAAATTGGAAGGGGTTAGGGGATCATAAGGGAAATCTAAATCCAAATTTCTGTTTTCCTGTAGTCAAATCAATGGTATAATAGGTCAATGGGACTCAGATTTCTTTATCTGAACTAAGAAAAAAAAAAAACTGGAGGGGAGGAAAGACATTCCTAAATTAATTTTGAAGTTATAAAACATTGTGCAAGAAAACAGTTACCTGTTCCTGTACATCTTCATGTTCTGAACTGAGCAATTTTATAAAAATTGGAACAGCTCCAGTTTCAATTACAACTTTTGTATGTAGAAAGGTTCCAGATGCTATGTTTGTTAGAGCCCAAGCTGCTTCAAACTGTTGAGGAGAAAAAAAACCCAAACAAAAAACATGTTAACTCAGCAGAAAACAAACAAACAAAAAAACCCAAAAATTTATTCTAAGCAGTTTGACACAGGAGTTCCAGAGGTTACTTTTCCAACTTTTTTTCCTTTCCACTGAAACGTGTTACCATAATTTCTGTGCATTATCTCTACCAACTGGTGTAAATCTTTTTATGCTATGCTCAGTCATTTCAACGCAAATGTGCACAAGGTTACCAGTTACTCTTACTGTTTGTCACTTATTTTTCCAAGATTTCTTTCCAAGAGTTTTAGCTTCCAAGTTTTCCTGTATTTTGTTTCTTTTGTAAGATTTCAACTGTAGAACAGTACACTACTTCCAAGGAAAAAAACAAAACAAAACTGAAAAATAAAAAAACCCACCCAGATTCTGCTCACACATCTACACTGATACTTTCAATACACCATCCTGGAAATCCTCTTGAACGAAGACCTCTTTCTACATCCAAATACATAACCAGCTAAATACATTACCCTAAAGACTACTGTGAAATTCACAAGAGTTGAGCTACAATTCCAGTGGCAATTGTTAAAACTTGGGATATCTAAAACTTACAGCTTTGATAGATATAATTACATTTTCTTTTTTTTTTTTTTTTTTTTTTTAATTAACATGTTTTCCAAAGCTGTTCTCAGGATTTCTGACCCCATTCCAAACCCTAACCAAGCAGCAGCCAAACTCACTTGCAGTGTGTAATTCTCACTCCTCTCTAGAAACTTCACAAATCTCTGTACTACTCCAGGCTTTTGGATGACTTCATCTATGGGTGGATTAGGCTCTGGGGGATAAAAATACAAAAGCACATATGCATAAGACTAACGAGAAAAGACCACTGCAGTTACTTTTTCAGTACAACACAAAACATGAATGATTCTCAGAAAACTTAACATAAATTTTCAGACATTTTAATAGGTCTGAAGGAAGGAGTTAAGTTTTTTTTCCTTCTGAAGATTGCTGGATAATCTCTTAACACGCTATAATTTAGCAATTGCTCTACTCTGCACAATAACACATACTGTCGCCTATTGGGAGGTTAGCACAACACTCTTCCCTCAATCAATAGAAAAACTGCTGTTAAACTTTAAATAATCAAGCATATGCCTGTACAGTACTTTACAAATACATTTTACAATCTCAACAAGAACACGAACAACAACAACACAAAATTACAGCCATTCTTTGGCAAGTCATAGTTTTTATCCCCTCAAACACAGAATCAGAAAATCAATTACCGAAACAAGTAGTTCAAGTAATGGTAGCGTGCTGTTGTTAGTTACTGCCTTGGGTGCTTCAATCAAAATATCCTTTTTTGTGATTTTGTCCAGAAGACTTAACAACAGAATAATAAAGCTTTTTGCATTTAGTCGTTAGGTTAGAATAGATTTGGTACTGTTTTTGTTACACACAAACTGAGAAGCTTCTGCAAGCTCTACTTTAAAAAAGTAAAATTTAATGTTAACTGACTCTATTTGACTAAAATTTGTAATAATAAAATAAGAGGAAGAAGAAAAAGCAACACTTACATACCTTTAGATAACAATTTTCTGAATTTCTGAGTTGCTGTGAGTTGCTGATCAGGATCATCTGAGAAAATCATCTGCACCATATCAACTGTAATAACTTCTTCCTAAAAACGAAACAGGGATTTTGTAGGACTAGTATAAACACATAAAGTTCTAAACATTCTAGAGTTATTACCTCTGGAATAGGTACAGTAGAGCTGACGTCAGGATCCTGAATTGGACTTTCCACCATAGATTCTTCATTTCCCGGGAGAGAAACATTTCGGCGTTTAAAGAGCTAAACAAAGAAGAAACGTGGGGGGAGTTTATCACACAACAGATACTGATTATTACTTGAGGACACTGGCTTTCACCTGTACGAATCAAAACGCTTCAACTCACCTTCCAGTTCATTCACACAAATGGAATTCTACTTTAAAGTTTTAAGAACGTAACAGAAAAAACACTGCTATCTTCAGCATCTTGATAAATAGCGCTGCAACACTTCAGGCCAAAATTAACAAAACTGGAGGTTTTGAGCAAGGAAAAGATTTATAAATCTTTCAGACAATGGCGATGATGATACAAATCTTTTTATTTTCATTGTTTCATACTTCATAGTTTAGCATTTATTTTTAAGAGGGAAATAGTATTCTTTCTTAATTTTGAAGCATAAAACATCAACACAAAGGCAAAATCTGTGTGTCTGCACACTGTACTCCACACTTTAAAAGAAAGCATAAAATCTCCTTGCATGCCAATTGAACAGTAGCTACACTTAGTATACAAGTTTATTTAGAAAACTAAAACTATAGTTGGAAACAAATGACGTAGATTGAAGGCAAGCTTTCAAATTATGTAACCTTAAATGTTCTCTATATCCAAAAAACATTTGGTACTGGCTTCAAACACCATGTGTGTTTAAAATACATACCTGTGCTGCCGTATTTAATAAGCTATGCTTAATGAGTACCTCCTCATTTTCTAGCATGCAAACATAACAATCACGTTAGCCTGTTTACTCCCACAGACCAAACCTACAGTTAGTACCTTTCATTTACTACTACTCATAAAACTACAATCCTTAACAATTCTAAGAATATCATGTTGGTAACCTTAAAAGCAAATATTAGAATCTCAGACCACTGAGTGTCTCAGATTTCATTGGGAAGCATAATAATGAAAACTCCTGTTAAGTCCTGAAGTAAGCGCTGTTCTCAAAGTTGTCTACAGACATTTCTGTGGTCACAAGTGCCCAAAACTAAATGAGAAACACCATGTTTACATGTAATTATATTTCAGATAGGAACCTAAAACAAAGCATTCTCCCCTTTGCTTGATCAAACTCTGGATCGAGCATAAACTTGGACCCTAACAATTGCACAGTCCTGAACACAAACAAGGTTTTAATTAAACCCACAAAAGGAAGAAGAATCAATGTTCCTCTTTTAGAAAAACAGCCATTCTTCCTAGCACTCAACAATGCCATGCAGGATCTTGTAAAATGTAAATGATAAAAATGTAAACCATTTTTGTCCAGGAAGACACTCTTTCTACAATTTATAATTTATCTGGAGCAAAACCAGTGCTAAAGGAGATGAAAACACCCATCCAACAATTATGGTCAAGGTATTCTCAACTCTCACAACATTCAGCATGGGAAACAATGTTTTTCTCTTTGTTTGTTTTAATAAATTATTTACCTACGGAGCATTTATTACAAAATACACAGAACTTTCAGCAGGAACTGCAATTCAGAAGAACTCAATCACAGGTAAATGCTCCAGCAGCATACTGCTTCTTACTCTTACCTCTCTGGCCCAACTAATATAAATTCTTTTTCCATGCAGTAGCACCACTCTCCCAGGAGAAGGGTAAGCACTCCCACCTCAGAGGGGACTGTAGATCAGTGCCTGGGACACACTAGGTGGTGGGAGACAAAAGTCAGCCACTTTAGAGCAAGCAGAAGAAAAAACTATATTCCTCATTTTCCAGGCAATGAACTACTAAATATTTTGGGGAAAGGAATTACTACCAACTATGAAATTATACAGTACTCTAAACACTAAAAAATAAAAATCAAAATCAATAAAGACAACTCAAATATTGTATTCAGATATCTGTAATTTCATGTTTACAGACCACTATTTGTTGACCACTACACTACGCTATGATAGAAAAACTCTTGGGCAACTTGAAGTCCATTCCTCTCACTTCTAATAGTGCATCTCTGGCACAAATTTTAGAAGAGAATGCAGGTTTTCCCATTCTTACCAGAAATAAGGTTAGCCTTTCAGCTCAGTTTTCTGCTCACATGTTGAAAACGAGACTAAGGACTAGATTTAAGACACAGGTCTCTACTTAAAATGCCACAGTGACTTACAGGGCTTCTGTCCACCTTTTTGATTTATAATCCTACCAAGAGGTGCCTTGTGCTCCCCAAGATTGCACAGAAAACACTTTTAATTTGGTGCTCTGGCTTCTGCTTCAGAGGAAGAATCTGCTCAAGTCCTTTCACAAATCTGAATTCAACTGCATGAGCATTTAACAGTTAACAGCTCATCAGGATACTTACTTGTTCTTCCCTTTTCTGTTTCCGAAGCTGGATTCCTTCCTCTTCTCTTCGTCTGCGCATTTCTTGAGGATTAAGTGCATTATTTTTGTAGCTTTTCATTCTGAAGTTATCCTTCCCTGGGCTTGACATGATGTCTATTAAAAAAAAAAAAAAAAAAAAAAAAGAATTACTCCAAAAGGCCAAACCTTGAAAGGCAAACCTACTATCCCTCATACTAGAAAAGTATCTAAAGCAACAGCTCCTGTACTCCTGTAGCTGCTGGTAATACCCAGTTTACCAACAAAAATCTCCAAGACAGAAACCATAGAAAAATCTTTGCCTACACAGGCATTTCTGAACTGCAGATTAAACCACAGGTTCACTTCAGAGATCAGGCACCTCATAAGGGGCATAAGGAACCACAAAATGAAGTTACTGATTTTATGAGCAAAAAAAGACAATAAAAGCAAAACCATTATGTTGCTAAATTTTGACCTAAATTTGAAGGAATGTCTGTCACCATCAACAAGTACAGGAATTTGCTTTCTTCTCTCAAAAACAAATCCCAGAAGAAAACCGGCTGTAATTACTGCTTCATTTAGTACCTCACTGCATAGTTTCTTCATTACTTTTTTAATACCCATCACAGAAGTGCAAAGCAGGATCTAAAAGTTACGCTAAATTTCCTTTTAATCTGTATGCAGAAAAACTCTACAGGAAAAAAGAATCAATGGTTAATAACATCCAGACAAGTATTCCTTCGCAATTTTAAATTTAAAATAATAATAATAAAAATGACTCATCCTTAATTAACAGCTCTTTTGATGTACAAGGAAAATTAGAATCTGCCTGTCAGGCATATCAGCTGTGTAAAGAAGAGTGATACAACATGATTCTGCTACTGAAATGATCAAACTGACTGAAAAAGGTTGTGAACAGCCCAGTGCTAATATTCAAAGCCAAAACTGTAGCCTTCATTTGAAGAAATAACTGTCAAAACTGTGATTCAATACTCTAAGCAAACTCAGCTGTTTGGAATTATTTCACAAGGAAAGATGCATAAGCCTATCTGAACCATGGGCAAAGTTCTCTTCCAACTTCCATGCTGAGATTATTATTACTATTATTTCTTTTTAATTTTGTTTAATATCAACAGTATCAAGGCCTGCTGAGTAATAAACACAGGCTGTAAAAAGCCAACAGCCCACATTGTTAGGCTGGCACCATCAGGACACCCGAGCGGTCAGCAAGCTGTTTCAACCAAACACAACTGCTTCATGAGAACCTTTACAAATTATTGCTATTTCTGGACACAGAGCTGCACAAGACGCAGTATGAAGTCACTGTCTTCTAACTCACAGAGCTTCCAAAGTACAATTTAACATGAAGAGCATTTTGTCCAGCAACTCTTGTGGCTTAACTAGTTCTCAAACACCGTAGCCTTCTTAATCACTCACACCTTGAGGAATGAGTTGGGCCAGTACACCTGCCAGGCCAGGCAAGGAACCAAAGGTGAGAAGACTGCATTAAAAGTAACTCCAAAATAACCCAAGCTCTACATAAGCGATCAAGCAGAAGGAAGCTCTCCTCAAAAAGAAAAGCTGCTGAAACCATAGCTGCGGCCCTTGTCCCACGAGGGCTTCGGAATAAGAACCAGAAGGGCAGACAGTCGAGCAGTGCTTTATCTACTCGGGCATCACGACTGCATCCAGCCCACACTTCTGCTGCGTCCAGCTATACCTGCGTTATCACCGAGCCCCGCGGCCACCACATCTCGCACGCCGCCCACTCGTTGTGCCCCGGTTGCGGCCGCCCCGCCATAGCCCGCCGCAGGGCTCCCCTCGCTGCCCCTCAGCGCCCGGAGCGCCGGAGAGACCGCGCGAAGCCGTCGCCCGGCCCAGAGCGTGCTGGGCGCCGCGTCAGATCCAGTCTCGCTCACTAGCTGCCCGGACGGAGGGCACCCAGCCCCGGGCTCAGCTTGCGACGCTTCTCTCCTGCGCCCCTTAAAAAGACGACGGAGAAGCGCTCTTGCCGGCGGCGGGAAGAAAGCAGCCCCTGTCCCGGCGCTGCGGGACAGTCCCAGCACCGCGCGAGGCATCGCCCCGCCACAGCCCAGCGCCTCCGGGCGGGCAGGAGCCCGGCTACGCAGCACGGGGCACCGCGCCCCGCCCGAATCCGAACGCGGCCTCCCCGACCCACCGGCTCTTACCCATCGCAGCGGGGACGCACCGCGCCCGCTGCCCCCGAAGCCAGAGAATCCCGCCGCGCTTTGCGCGGCGCTCGGCCCCCAGCCGGAGCGCAAGATGGCGGCCACCACCCCACCGCGCGCCGCACTGCCCACGGGCGGGCCTCGCCGCTCCCAGCAGGCCCCGCGCGGCGGCGAAGGGCGGGCGTAGCCTCCGCCGCCCCGGGAAGGGGACGGGGCTTCCGAGCGGACCGTTGGGCCGCCATGTCGGTGTGCGGTATCTGTGGACGGGTGCTGCCCTCGGAAGCGGCGGCGCGGCGTCACGTGAATCGCGCCCACCCGGACCGGCAGCCTCGCTGCCCGCTCTGCAGCGCCGCCGCCTCGGGCTACGAGGAGCTCTGCCGGCACGTGGAGGCCGTGCACCCGGAGTCCCAGCCGCTGCCCCGCAGCCCTGAGCTCGAGTGCCCTTTCTGCGGGGAGGCGGCGGGGCACCAGCTGGAGGCGCACGTCAGGGCGCGGCACGGGCGGTTGCTCGGCGCAGGTGGGTGGTTCCCATACGGCGTGGCATCGCTGGTGTAACGCGTTGGCTGTGCTGGCAGGGAAAAGGAATGATGTTAAGAATGCAGAATGTGAGGGTAATCGACGGCACGGTGTGTTCTGCTGTTATTCTCCGTATTGTGCTGGAGTGCTCAGTACAGGAGAGACATAGACCTGATGGAGAAGGGCTACGAAAACCCGAGGGATGGAACATCTCTCCTCTGAGGGCAGGCCGAGAGATCTGTGGCTGTTCAGCCTCGAGAAGAGAGGGCTCCGGGGAGACCTGAGAGCAGCCTTTCAGTATCTAAAGAGGAACTAAGAAGGAAAGGGCTGTCTCCTCACCACAGGGTCTGCAAGGATAGGACAAGGGGAAATGGTTTCAAACTACGAGAGGAGAAATTTATATTAATATTAGGAATACGTTTTTTTTTTTTACAGTAAGGACAGTGAAGCACTGGCAACAGGCTGTCCAGAGAGGTGGTGGAAGCTCTATACCTGGAGACACTCAAGCTTAGCCTGGATGGGGCTGAGCACCCTGATGGAGTTGTAGGTGTCAGCATTCCTCGCAGGGCAGTTGAATTAGATAGCTTTAAAGGCACCTTCCAACTCAAATGAGTTGGATTCTGAGGCTAAGTGACTAAAAGAGAGGGCACTGAAGGTTAAGTCTTTGTAGTGTGCAGTGGCAGGACTGCAGGCAGCAAGTGAAATAAAGAGCTACCGCTGAAACATAAGAAAGCTGTTACTGGAATGAGAACATTGTGGAGTTTCCAACCTCAGAACAGTGACTGGAAAAGACCCTGAGGGTTATTACCCTGAGCCATTTTGACATGACCATGGTTTGAGGGTCCTGGTGATCTCCAGGTGATTTTCTGAACCTTAGCTGTTATATGCTACTCTTCATAATAACACTAAAAGTGCAGAAGAAACAGCTGAGGAAACACAGAAAGATTAATAAGAAATGACAGCATTGTAGTTTTTTTTTCTGCGTGCTGATTGCTGAGTTGTCATACAAGCATTAAGATTTTGTAAGCAAGTGTTATTCCATCAGCAGGATGTATCTTTTCATTAAAGGTTTGATATTTGATTGGCATTTTGTAGGCCTTAAATATTATAGCTGGTTGTGGTAAGTTCAATAGGGAAAATTCTGCTGAATAGGAAGAGGGAAAATATATCTTCAAACTTTGCAGGTATTTAAATATGAATTCATAAGTGGTTAAGAGCCATAGCTATTAACCAAGGCATATGGTGTCTTCCACTGGAGAATTTCAATACCAGCATAATTCTTTTTGTTTATCTTGAGCTGCTGGGGGATGATTCTTACAAACAGCAGAAAAGGATGACCAGGAACTGCATTAAGCAAGAAACTGTGTTTCTTTTTCAGACACAGAGAATGTTGAACAGCTATATGAATGTCCAATATGTGGTCTCACCTGTACAGACATTCAGATTCTCGAGGAACATGTGGATTTACACTTAGAGGAACACAGCTTTCCAGAAGGTACTTGAAAGGATGCAAGTGATAATCTTTGAAAATACTTGCATGTTGCAGTACAGAATCTCATACAAAATTTAAAGGAAATATTTATTTATTTAAAAAGAGAACTGAATAGATTCATAATGAAGTTAAACGCAAGTTCGGTCACTTGCCCTTGTGCTTTGCTTAATTACATGTGCTATGAGAAGTGTCTTTCTATGCACGGTTATTCAGTATATGCTCTAAATGTTAGGTAAAACTAAAACTTAGAAATATATTATAAATATAATTAAATATATTAAAATATACTATAAATATAAAGATACCTCCTTACATATTCTAGCCCTATAAAAAGGTTACCTTCGCAGAATCTAGTAGCTCATTCCCATGTGAAGAATTCAAAATAGTCTTTTGAAAACTACTGATTTTTTTCTGAGTTCTTTTCTGTAAATGTTAAGTCATAATGATAGGTAAAGGAATCAAAATAAGTTTACTTTATTTGCATAGCTAATAAAATGCTGGAGATTCACTATCCAGCTCTCTGATCCCACGCTTCTTTTTGTCACTCTGAGATTGCTAGGAGGGATCTGAGAAACTGATAGGTCTGTGTTATTCAAAAAACTAGGATTTCTTACTAATAATTATGTAAAGCACAGTAACCAAAAGATGTTTGCTTAGTGGTAGAGCTATGCTTGCATTATTTGCCAAGCAATTGCATCTGTGACTGCACACACATTCTCCAAGTCAGGAATTTGAGGCTTAACAATCCAAATTCTGTTATTCTTGTTTAGTACTCCTTGCTAATAGCCCAGCATAGTACAGGATCCCTCTTGAAAAGTGATGCCTAGCTGTGTTTGTCAGTGTCTGCTTAGAAAAGAATCCTCAAGTAAACAATCCATCAAAGCATCGTTAACCTCCTGGTAAAGTTTTCTGGTTCTGGAATGTTATTCCTGAATAGGTGGAGGCAGTGGAGATTTAGAACTGGCTCAGCGGCTTCAAACTGAAGAAGATAAACAGCAGAGACTTGAAGAAGAGAAGCGAGAGAAGGAAGAATTTAAAAAGCTACAGGTACAGTAATGTTTGTAAATGGGAAAATTTTTAAGCCATTTGAAGTTGATGAAGTTGAAACTGTTTCCTACATTATATGAAAATAAGAGCAGTCATACTGGGTCAGACTTACGCAGTCAGGTAGGCTTCAATCAGGTACTGAAGAGTTGGTGGCAGGAGCAGCTTGTGCTGTAAGTACAAAGGTTTTATGTCTTGTTCACTATTTTTCAACGTTGCTGATTGTGCAAGCTGCTTCTTAAATCATTGAAGAAGAATTTTTAAAATGTAATTTAAATTATAAACACTGTATCCCTTACAGAGACAGTATGGCTTGGATGGTTCTGGAGGCTACAAGAAGCAATTCCTGAATAATATGGAAAGAGAAGTTAATAGAGGAAGGATGCAGCCCTTTGAGTATCACAAGAGAAAAGCTGACATGATGGAATGTTTGGCTTTTGGTATAGATGATGGGAAAACAAAAACCTCAGGTAAAAGAGCAGTTCAGCAATGAAGTATGTAAATTTTGGGGATAGTTTGTGGTGAACAAAGGTGTTTTTAGCAAAATGTTTCACCACTTCAGATTGGTATTAGGGCACAAATAATATTAATCTGTAGCATGTCTGTAACATCCATCCTTCTAATTTTTTTTCTTTCAAAGTGGGTGGTCCAAGGGAGGGTGAAACGTTGGAATCGCATTGAGCGGGTAAGAGCTCAAGTACGATACGTGTCATAAGATGAAAATCTCCTGTTGCATTTAGGTTGTCTTTGAGAGAATATGTTTGTTTACTACCTACTGCTATAGGAAAGCTATTCAAATTTATAGTAGCTTTTTGTATTATGTTTCAGTTAGTTGTAATCTTTTCCAGCACATTGTAAATCATTCTACAGATTTTCTATTTGTTCTTCCAGGAATCACTGAGGTATTGTGCAAGTACTACCAGAATGAAAACAAAGATGTGAGGCGTGTATGGCTTTCAGCAGGAGTAGATCACTTCCACTCATCTTTGGGTGACAAAGGCTGGGGTTGTGGTTACAGGAATTTCCAAATGCTCCTTTCCTCGCTCTTGCAAAACAGCTTGTATAACGACTGCTTGAGAGGTAGTAATCAAAATACTTCCTATTTGTTTTACATGCCTCAGATGACAAACTGTTGATGTTTTACCTTTTTGTTTATACAGCAAAGCTTATCAATGTCAATTATACCTATTAAATGTTTGTTAGAACTCCAGTGCATATTGTGAGAAGAATTGGAAGGGTGGTGAATATTGGTGAAGTATGATATGGTTAAAGCTTTAGGATTGGGTTTTTTTTTTTGGGGGGGGGGGGAGGGGGGGGGTGTATTTTTCTAATATCTATTATCTCTTAGAAAAGAGGCTGGATGTTCTTAATAGATTGTTTCGGTAACTGTAGCTGCAATTCAAAAGCTTCTATGTTTCAGATACTGCACTAATTCCTAGCATACCGAAGATTCAGTCTATGATCGAAGATGCTTGGAAAGAAGGCTTTGATCCTCATGGAGCATCTCACTTCAACAACCGGTTACGTGGTTCCAAGGCGTGGATAGGAGCATGTGAAATTTATTCGCTGTTAACCAGTCTCAGGATAAAGTAAGTATTACTTTTTCTGTTTTTATTTTTAAGCAATAGTTAAGCATGTACCTTCTGAGGGTCAAAATTGTCAACTGTGAAGAAAAACAATCCATCATAGTGACTTCATATTCAACCAGCCTGTAAGTGGATACACTGTAGTCAATGCAATCATAAACCTGTGTAACTACTTATGCAGATAAGCAAGGAGAATAACTATTTATAATCACTGAGACTTGTTGAGGAATTGTGCCATATATGCATACAATTATGTACTGATTTAAAAAACTTATTTTCTCTCTAGTTGCACCTTGAGAACAATCTGAATTTCAGCTACTCAGTTGCATATTCTGCTGTTAGTTTTACTTCCTGGTATTTCTACAGAAATCTAATGTTTGGATTTTTGCAAACTTCCTAAGCTCGTTTGGCTGAGCAGAATAGAGTATTTATTTGCTACAGAGTAAAGACTGTGGTTTTGAACAGTACCTACTGCATTCCTTTGTAGTTGGCCTGTCTTCTATGCCTGTATTTAAAATAAGAGCTGTATAGTCAATGAATATAAAGCTGTTATAATTATGAAATAAACAAGAGAGTTTGGCAAAGCAGATTATAATAACAAAGAGAGAGAATAGACAAATCTTACCCATGTCCTGGGCTCGCTGCAAAACTCCAGAGGAACGATTTCCAGAAGAGATCCTTTCTACCTGGTAGCCAGCTCTTAAATGGGTCTAGGAGAGGTGGAGCCAGGCTCCACCACTTCTGGCAGCACAGGTGAATTGCCTTCACCTGTGCTCCCATAGCTGACTCATTGCTCTCCTCAGGTGATCAATCAGAGGTTCAGATCATGATTCAACATGTCCAATACAAGAGCAAACATACAACAAAAGTAGTGTGAATGTTAGTGCCTGAAATTGCAGCTGTTTATGAAGCATTCTTCGTGAAGGAGGGAGGGACTGAGAGGTTTTTTTTTTTTTTTTTTAAAAGGAAGTGCTTCAAATTTAATACCTTGTTTTAATTTTTAATGTTCCATAGGTGCCAAATTATTGACTTCCACAAACCAACTGGTCCCACAGGCACACACCCTCGTTTGTTTGAGTGGATTTTACATTACTATTCTACAGATAATGAAAGTACTGCAAAGGTAGTGTGCACTTCCAGGCCACCTATCTACTTGCAACATCAAGGTCAGCATCACAATGTACTGATTTGTTTTCTTACTTTTTCTCTATGTGTGCTGTGATTTAGAGCAGTCTTGTGTTTTTCACTTAATTGAAGGCCTATTTATTGTTAAATTTCTGTTTAAAAAGTATTTTTATTGGGTAGAAAAGCATGAGTGGAATATCAGCTTTTTGACATCTGCTTTTTAATTACAATCACTATGTTGAATTTCTACTAATGTATTGCTTGATTTAAAAATAAGCAATATGCTACAGGCAAGTAATTGGGATTTCATTTTTCTAAAATACTGAAAATCTGTTTGAAACTAGGTCATAGCCGTACTGTTGTAGGCATAGAAGAAAAGAAGAATAAAGCCTTATGTTTGCTTCTATTTGATCCTGGATGTCCTGCTCAAGAAATGCAGAAACTGTTAAAACTAAACAGTGATGGCACTAGTCTCAAACTACTTCGAAAGTTTATGGGTAGCTTAAAAGAAAAGCAATACCAGATAGTTGCTGTAGATGGCATCCTCACATTGGAAGAGAAAACTGTAAGTATTTTAGGAAATAGTTTGTGTAAGAAAATTTAAAAGAATGTGCATTAGAATTCACAACACAGTAACTAAAGTAGTGTTTTCTGGGGGAGGGGAACATGTATTTTTTCTTCTCTCCAAAGATTCTATTTATATTTTAAAATATTAATTCTTTAGATTATTACCTTGAAAGATCACATTTAGGATGAAATATAGCCCTTTAGTAAGTGCATTTTCTAAATTAATGACTGAAAAAAGATGTTTTCATTTGTTAAACTATTCACGCTCCTTCCCCCGTTCTTTTTAGGCTCGCTGTCTGGCTTCTCAGGTCTTAACATCAGAGAAGATTCCTTAAAGGATGCCTTACCTACCTCTTTCTGAAATCTGCTGAATACAAAACATTGAACTAGTCATATTGGACTGTGACTAGCTTAACAATTTGTACACTTAAGTTATGTCTAAGAGCTTGGAGAAGCACAACATCAAACTTAGGCCTATAATTTTAATCTTCAATCAAAACACTTCCCTCCAGGTGAAGTATAACTCTTCAGTATTAGCTTCTTAGGCTAGCAGAAAATGGGGTATTTTCTTAGTTGTTTAAATTACAAAGTAACATCCACTGCCCTGTAGCAAGCTATGCACTATAGTTAATTATTAATAAGCACAGTGGGTAAAAATACTGTGAAACTATCTTTTTTTTTTTGGAGTGCCTGGTCAACTTCATCTCTGTAAGTACATTTATACTTGCTCTATGGCTAATGTTCCATCTCTTGTAAAATTTGATTAACAAGTATCTTTTGTATCTCAGCAACTTCTCCAGCAACTATTTGTGAAGTACAGAAGCAATTGAGTGTTTTCACCTGGCATGGTCTATTCCAGCAGGGATTCATTTACTACTGCATTTCTTTTTAATCATTTGCCTTCCCTTGGTGCACCCCTTGCTAACAGAAGTGTGCTTATGAGGTGGGTCAGTGTTAGCATGGGGCAGGAGGAGGTAGTGGTGTACAAAGTGGAGGTTGTTTGCTTGAGGAGTGTGCATGAGACAAACCACTGCAGTGTGGAAAGAAAATGTTTTGTATTACAAATAAATATTTTTTTTAATTAAAAATTGCTCTGATAATGGTTTTTAAAAAAATCATGCTTCCAGGGCATCTTCTGTCCTGTCAGACTTCATTTTGCACAGTACCTGCCTGCAACTTCCGCAACATATAGAACCAGAAGGATGCTGCGAGTCCTGCCTACATGGTCCTTTGAAAGTTCCTTGCAAGTCTCTAATGTCAGGCATGAACTTAAAAAAAAAAAAAAAAGTCTTTCCTCCCTTAACAAGCATTTAACTCTCAATGTTCTTTACCAGTGTTGTGGTTTATCACCAGCAGGCAGGTACTTGAGCACCTCACAGCTGTTCCTGCTCACTTCCCCCACAGCTGGTGTGGGGAGGGAATTGGAAAGGTAAAAGCAGGAAAAGTCATGGTTTGAGATAAAACCAGTTTACTAGACAAAGCAAAAGCTGTACCCACAACCAAGCAAGACAAGGAACTCATTCACTATTTCTTACCAACAGCCAGGTGTGGGACATCCCTTTGGGCTGTTTGTACCAGCTATCATGCTTCTATATCCTCTCAGCTCCTTGTGCACCTTCAGCTCCTTGCTGGCAGGGGTGCACAAGAAGCTGAACAGTCCTTGAGTTATAAGCAGCACTGCTCAGCAACAAGTAAAATACCAGTGTGCTGTCAATTGTTTTCAACTTAAGTCCAAAACACAGCAGTATATGAGCCCCTATGGAAGAACAGGAACTGTGTTCTATCCAAAACCAAGACAGCTAGATTGGATTTCTCCCCCTCCCCCTTTTTGTAGGAATGAAACAAAAAAAAGCAACTTGGTAAAATCTGAGGACTAAACCGTCTAACAACTGTCAACAGTAGGAGGGAGTACAAGTTTTTCTGCTCCTGGAAGCTGACTGTCTGTAATCACATTGCAGCTGCTATCACTCATCACAGACATCTGTCCTCCCTGGTCATACCAGATTCTGCTTTCCTTTTGCTCACTTCAAGGACAAGGCTGGAGCTACCCCTCCTAAGCCTGAGAATGGAGGAAGGGCCCATTCAACTACTGTGCTATTGGCAGTGTCAAGTGTAGTAAAATAGGAGAGACAGAGTGATAGTATTTTATGTTAATATTAACAACTCTTTGAAGCACTCCAGTCTGGTAGCAAAGTTCTGTGGTGGCACTTACACATTAAAAGGGATGCTGATCCCTTTTACTCCCTGTTACTTTGGATGCAGCTTTGTAGTCTTGGGACCTTTTCTCTTTTTTTTTTTTTTTTTTTTTTTTTTGTATTGATATTTTAGTAGGAATATGTGAATCTTTGCCTATTTCCCGGTCCAACTAAAAAATCCCTTAGCTCCAAGTGTGTGAGTTAGAGCTGTAATCTTTGATGACATAAAATTAAGTTTCTGGTAAAAATATGTAGGGTTTTTTTTTTTTTTTTAAAATACAGTTCTAATCAATTTTAACTTCCATCAAGCTTCTTGGGATTTCTGATTTTTTTTTTTTTTGTAATTAGTCATACCTGTCACTCTAAAAATACACACCATCTTGTTAGTGAACAGCTGTGGCAATGCTGACTGAAGTAACTGAACCAACACTATCTAAGGACATTGTGCCCAAGGCAGAAACATTTCATTTAGAGCAGAAACCTTCTAGTGCCAGATGACAGCTCTGTACTTGCACTCAAACATTCTGCCTTATTCACAGAACACATTTCATCAACAAGTAGCATCTGTAGGTACAGCCTTGATCATTCACTTTGTGATCTAATCCATCACCTGCAGGAGGCAGTGGTCTCACAGGGAAATGGCAAGCAGCTGTGCTGTCTGGCCACCTATACAAAGGAATGAGTGACTTTGACACCAGTATTCAGTGGCTTACAAAGGTTGCACACTTTCACTAACCTTTTAACAAGCATTTCAGGTAACTCCCTGCGCATTCTGTCATGAGAAAACACATTACTGTGAGTTCTATTGTGGATTATTAGAAGGTCATTAACTACTACCTGATGCCTTAATTCACTTAATTCATAAGGCCAAACGATACCCCTCTAACCTGCGCATGAATGGTGTATTTGAAAGACATAACTATTGTAATCCTCTCCCCTTGCTTACTGACAGAAGCATGGCTATCTGCCTGTTGGGCTCCATGTCTCGTCTCAGACAGCAAAATAACAGTGCCCCCACACCTCCAACACAACCTCTGCACTGCTGATGGAAACTGCAGGATGCAGAGCTCTGGGCCCCCACTGGCATGGTGCTGCTGACCCCAGGTCTCATTGCTAGTGCTTTTACAATGGGGAAAGGAAACCCATTCCAGATATAAAACATTCATCAGGAGGCTTGCAATTTGTGCTGAACCCAGTTGGCAGCTGACACCTTATCCCAAAACATTCCCAAATGCCTTCTCACTTTCTGTTCTAAAGAGCTCTGCATCTTCACAGCAGCCAGACCTCCTCAGCTGCAGCAGGAACTGTGGTGTCTGAGTTACAAATACTTGGTACCTGTGTACCCTGATGTACCTGGTTTACCAGAGCCATACTTCGTGCATTCCCACAGCACTTAAGTGATTCCCAGTCTGCCAGACATGACATAAAGGGCCTTTCTGAAAAAACAGATGTGGGCAGCTTCCCCCAGGCAGATCCCGCTGCTGAGCTGGCCAACAACACTAAGACAAGATAATTTTGAAGCTGCTCCTGCAGATACAAAAGATTGTCTCAAGTGTCTGTTTCTGTATGTGCATAAGAGTAAGGAGATGTCCTTTGTTTAAAGGAAGGGACAGTGATGGATTAAGATGGTTATGTAGTACCAAAGGGGCTTATAAGTGAGCAAAAGAGCGCGAGTCTCACCTGATCATCTGCAAGGGTTCTGCATCTACATTTCCTGACAGTGCCTGGACAACAACTGATGCTGTGAGACAGAATTCCCTCTTTCCACTGGATACTGGATACCAGGCTCACAATAAATTCCATTAAGTTTGTTACATTCAAACGAGTACTCTAAGTGTCAGAGAAGAGCCCCACTTCCAGAGTTCATAGAGTCAACTGGCTGGCACCTCACATATCTCAGTTTGAGTCTAGGAGCTGCAGCTGGGGCAGGGCAATAGGAGAACTCTTAAACATCAGTTGAGAACCACAGTTTACATAACAGTAGAGGAACAGACCATAGAAATTACTAAAAATGCTACTATAATGCTGAAATAGAACAGAAAGTACCACAATAACAGCAGGACAGCAAAGTCAGGCTACAGCAAATGAGAATGAGCCAAAATGCAGCAACCACACCAAAATGACACAAAAATTGAAGGAAGAGAGCTACTTACCCTTGAAAGGCCACAAAGAGATAGAGACCACCAACAGGAGATGCCCTTTCTTCCCCTGCCAACACTTAAATGAGTTTGGGAAGGGGTGGATCCTGGCTCCACCCCTTCTGGTGGAGCATACACCTGAGCTCCCATGGGTTGGTCCTGCCTTCCTACCAGGTGCTCTGTCACTGTTTCAGGTCATGACTTAGCATTTTTGCTACAGCCACAAACGACTTTGATCTATTTTGATCTCATAGACAGTAGGATAATAGGAAGAGCAGTACAGTTCTACAACCAGAGGTAAAGGCCACAAGTTCATCCTTTATGGATATCGTGGCCACTCATGTTCAGTTGCACAGTATATTGCTGAGGAAAGCAATGGAGGAATATCTGTGAACTTACACAACGCAACTTGGTTACTGAATGTTCTCCTAGATATACTCCACACTGAGTGCTGAAGCAGCTTATTTTTTATGTGCCATTATCTAACTCTCAGAAAAGCTTCAGGTGACTATCTCAGATTAATCAGGAACTGAGATTCAGAAGAAAGGGAGAGAAGATGTGTTTATTTCTCCTTCAAAGCGATGTTAAAACTTTCTGTCAATTCAAAATGTATATATATTTCTTTTTTACAAAAAATGTTTCATTTTAATTTATTTATTTATTTCAATCAGGTTAATCAGAAATTGTGATTGAGAGGGAGAGAAGAGGAGAAGGTGGAAGGGACCTATGGGGATAACCAAGTCAAACTGCCAGACTTCAGGACTAACCAAAATTTATATTATATTATGGAAGGCGTTGTCCTGAACAAGACAAGAATAGGGTATCAGCCAGCTCTCTACCAAGCCTGTTACAGTGTTTGGCACCCTTACAGTAACAAAGTGTTTCCTAATACCCACTCTAAACTTACTGTGGCTCAGCTTTCTGCTGTTCCCTTCTTGCCATTCAAGAGCAGAGCTTGGCACCACCATTTCCCGCTCACACGGCGTGCAGAGAGCAGAGGGGTTACTTCTTGGCCTCCTGTACACTGGAAAATCTCTGCCTCTTCTCACAGGACACGCCTTCCAGACCCGTTATCAGCCTTGTTGCCTTCTTCTGGACATTTTCACAGTCCTTTACATCCTTTTTATATTTTGGAGGCCAGAACTGCACACAGTATGCAAAGTGCGGCTGTGCCAGCAGTAAATATAGCTGGAGAAGCACCTCTTTTTGACCTTCTGGCTATTCTGTGTTTAATGCATTTAAGATCATGGCTTGCCCCTTGTCTACCAGAGTGTACTGCTGGCTCCTGCTGAACTACTGTCACCAGCAAAACCAGGTCCCTTCCAATTGAGCCTTTCACCAGCCACATGTCCCACAGTCAGTGACTGCCTGGTGTCTCAGTTCGAGGAGAATAATCTAAAAGCACACAGAATAAGCAGATTTATTAATGTTTTCTTGTTGTTGTTTTGGTGTTGCATTAATTTATTCTAATCCAGAGACAATGAGTTCCTTTTATCAAGGAACTTGTATTTATTATTACGCTGAGAGATAAAATGTCAAACTGTTCTGACAAACCTGTTCTCAATGGATTATCATGCGATTTGGATGGGACACTGCTCTGAACTCTGCCCTTTGCATGATCTCAAAGGTGCTGTGCAGAAAATCTGCAGCTCTGAAATAAAATAGAACTGTGTTAAAATTAAATCAGAGTGAGAATAGGTTATGTTTGAAGATGTGAAAAATTGTCCCAAGGCAAATGAGGAAATGGGAGAAGAAAGGTTTTTATTCAAAAGGTGTACAAGAGTGTAATGGTGTTCCATCAGAAGTTGAATCATGATAAATGGAGAAAATTAGAAATGTAAAAAGCAGGTTACTGTAAACAACAGCTGCCATCTGTTCTAAAACAAGAAAATTTAGTGGAATTTTGGCCAGAAGGTTCAATCTCCACAGTCATGCTATCACCATCTGCCATCTTCTGCATACAGGATAAAAATCCCACATCTTTTCTTCACACACACTTCCATGTTAGACAGCATTTTAACATCCTGCCCCTCTTTTCTGTCTCTCACAACGGAGTGGAAGAAAGAGGGAGAAAGAGTATGCCACTGACAGAAATCCCAGAGGAATGAGCAGACAATTAACTGATTGCCATGTAGGTAATACTAAGGTACAACTACTGAGAAAGGTCCCTAGTAACTCAGGCATCATATGTCTTTGGCATGGATTTTGTGCAGTAACAGGCAATACTAATGGAGCATAGGTGTACCAGAGGATTGTTTAAAGGAAAGGAATGTATTGCAAACCTTTTTCACAGTTAGTGGAGCTACTATCTATTTCTATGTACGTACCAAGAATGAGGATCAAATGGTTTAAGTGAGTTTGGTGTGATTGCAATGATCTGTTGAATACATTTTGTACTGATGTATAAAACTTACATTGAGATTCCATGTGCCTAAGTAAGGCATTTACTTCTCTCTTTAATTTCACAGGGTAGATTGGTGGGAAGCTTGTCTTTGTCTGTTATCTGCCCAGGGAACTTGGAGGCTTATTTTAGGACTCTCAGTTTCCCAATGCTGTAGGCACTTCTGAAAGGAAAGCCACAGCCTGTATGGACGGGAATATGTTGTGTGAAAGTACCAGAGGAAACAACAAGGGAAGAACACGAGGGGTAGAAATAAACAGCACTAGAAACATAGGCATTAAGCCATACAATAAACCACAAATATTCTTTCCTCGACAAACTGGACTTTGTGCAACTTCACCTGTGGTTTAAGTATACGTTAGGAATTTGGATCTTGAGGTTAATTATTAATACTGTACAGAACGATTTATCCCAAAGCAGGTAATAGAGTTGAATACATGGAAACTATGTTCAATTAGCTGCTGATAGACTGTAATTCAACACTATTGACAATCAGGGGCAGGTCATAACTTCCTGATGCTGTCGTTGTACAGTATTGTTGAGATATGTATATTCTATCAATTCACCATCTGTGTGAGGGCCAAATAGCTTTACAGTCTATTTGTTTTTCTTGGAAAACACTATGTCTCTCCTTAAGTCAAAGCTTTTGGTGCCCTGGCTAGAACACAGATCTGGTGACAGACAGCAGATGTTGCTCTTTGGGCCTCTTCAAACCTCTAATGGATGATCTCTGTGCCTTGCTTTAGGATCAAAAGCTGCCATCTTCCATTCATACTAAACTCCTTGACTAGAAATTGCAGTTACAAAACACTGGGCACGCCTGACTGGAGCAGAAAGCAAAGCAGTGCAGGCTTAATCTTTGGGCTTAAAACTACTCTGTGTTGCAAAAAAGAATTCAGCCCTACTCCTCATTCTGGCTTGTCCCCTACCTGATGGATCTGTTGTGCAAGTTTGAGGACTACCTGGAGAATTGATCCAGGTTAAAAAGTAACTCTACACAAAACAAGGCATAGGGCTGGGGGACAAAATTTTCTTTTTTGCGTAACATGGTTGGTGTGCAAGTTTCAGTGAGAAAGGTCTCAGGCAAGATTTTATGTCACTTATAGGTGCTTGTAGAAAAACAATGTGGGTATACGTGTAACATTCATATACGGGGAAGCAAAGAACTCACTCCTAGAAGCTCTTTGCTGAGGCCAGGTCTGACTGGTCTCACTGCACTCCAATAGAGTGGTGCGCTCAGACTGTTCATTCAGACTGCTGCCACATACAGTGTGCAGGTATAACAAGTGTGGGCAAAAATTTTGTGGGAGCTGAGTAAGAAACACACACACACACAAAAAGAAAGAAAGAAAGAAAGAAAGAAAAAGAAATGAAAAGGAATCTTGCAGTCACTTCTGCTCCTCTTCACTCTCACTCTTCCTCAACAATGCTGTTGATAAATTGGAGGAAGAAAAATTAAAGTTGCCTTAAAATAATTTCCTAAATCTCTCTGGAGTGCTTTAACCTTCTGGATCAACTGGATGTTGCGTTGAGGGACATGGTTTAGTAGGAGCTATTGGGAATAGGTGAACGGTTGGACTGGGTGATCTTTTAGGTCTTTTCCAACCTTAGTGATTCTATGATTCTATGATTCTATGATTCTAAGGGGTTATGTCAGTTCTCTAATCTCTAGCTGTGCTACAGATAAGCAAATATTGAATGACAGCCAAACAGGACTGTTAAAAAGGAAACGTGACTGCTCATGCCTCTCTCAAACTATTCACGTTCACAGTCGTAACATACATCTCTGTGGGCCCTGGAAGAGAAGACACAAGGTAAGCATGCCTGACATTATTGGAGCTGTGCGTTGGTGAGTTAAACAATGCTGTGCTGATTGCCCTTCTGGTAAGATGAGTAGAACTGTGCATGGAACTGTTCTGTCAAACATTTTGAGAAGTGTAGCCAGAGAAGAAGCCGAGTGAGTGCCGAGGGGAGGATGGCTATACAGCTGGGCTCTGACAGCTGGTGTCGGAAGCTGAGTTTGACACCCATTTTTCTGTACTGCTCAGCAAGGGGTTGGAGTTGTGCGTGTGAGGTCGCTCCCTGAGCAAAGCAGAAGGATCAGATCCCCACACATATAGGAAAGGAACAGACGGACGCCCTTGTGTCCGCAACTGGAGGCAGATTTTTAGAAGCACTTTTCAAATGCATTTCTGGCTGATTAGAGCATATAGGAATGCTTATTTTTTCTTCCGTCAGATACTCTAGACTGTGAATGTTCCCTAGCCAAGGTGGCATAGCTTTTCTTGCCTGATATATTTCCTCATAGTATAATCCCCTGCCCATAAGGAAGAACCAGTTCAATAACCTTTGTCTGAAAGTGATATGAAAGCTCAGATTTTGGCAGAATCAAATCAAAAAGGATTTCTGTGCACTGCGTATTTAATGTGTCTTCATTTTGTATCTTACAAATTCTTCACTCTTCCTTTGTAACTCTAAAAATATTCACTCATTCACCATATTTTTATGTCCTTTGTGCCACCAGTTTTCTTATCATAACTTGAAATCTGTTTTTGCTTTTATGATTGGGATTACTGCTACCAGTGTTTCTGATGTGATGAGTGACTCCTCATTTATTCAACTCAGCTCAGTGAGAGAACTTCAGTCATATCAAAATAAGCTTATCCTGAACCTTTTTGCCTGGTCATTACTCTGATATTTCTGAGTGGCTGGGTGTGGGGAGCAGCAGGCCCAGCCTGCCTGCAGAGCGAGCCTGAGGGATGCCCGAGCATCCTGTGGCCATGCCATGGGAGGAGGCTGCCCACCTGAGCTGCATGCAGGCCCAATACTGCCCTGTTTTGGCACTGCCTCATCATGAGACAGCAACCTGCGGGTTTAAGGGAGCACAGGTCTCATAGGCGGTGTCCACGTGCATGTGCCTCATGTAGGCAGGTCCCTGTCAGCCCATGGATGCATCCAAGGACACAAGGTCATGAGCATGTCCTTGGTCATGGCCATGGCCCTTCCTTGTTTCCACCACACCCCTCATCAAAAAAGGGCACTGCTGGGTAAGTGTGAGGTCAGTGCAGCTCTAGCGGTGAGAAGGCAAAAGGACAGGTAAGCCTAAACTGGTGAGTAATAACAGTGTTCATGAAAGCTTAATTAAGCAAGATCTATTTAAGAGATAAGAAGAGGTGACAACCAAAGGAAACATTAGACATTGAAATCCTAGAGGAATTTTGAGAAATAATTATTTACAGAGTGCCATTATTTACATCATCTTTTAGATGCAGTTAACGTACACAAATATGAATAAACAATCAGGGTATTATTAGCCTTTTTATTTCATTTTATAACCTGATGTTTATGAAAATTTCAAGGCTGAATTTCAGTGAATTGTTACAAAACACGTTTTTTTGTTTTGTTTTGTTTGATTTTCCAAGAGATAACAGCAAAACTAAAATCTATAATTTTATTTTTTCTTATTGCAGCTTATACACCCGTAAGCGACAACAGATTAATGATGGAACCATCAAAAGAGTTTGTATTCAATTACAAAGGGTTTTATTTTGCTGTAAATACTACACCTGAGTATGTAGCTTCCCTGGAGAATTTTGAAATCAAGGACAGTGACATATTTATAGCTACTTATCCAAAATCAGGTAAGAATTGAATTGATTCCAATGGGGAAATAAATCTGCTTTTACTCACACTGCATGCCAAAGATTGTTAGCATTGCTTTATAGATCTGAACCATCTCTGAGTATATGCAGTGCAGCATTAGGTACAAACCTGAATAGCCACAGCCTGAAAAACCACACACCTTGTGGTGTGTCCTGCTTGTGTCCTGCTGAGCTGATCTATGTGGCTCTTGTATTTAGTCTGGCAGGTGTGCTCAGAAGAAGGCAAGACTTACAGGTCAAAATGATAAGGCACTGAGATGAACATTAGGGAGCCCAGGTGATGCTAGTTCATTGTCAGGCAGGGCTGGAGGAAGCAGTCCAAGTCAGGCAGAGAGGCAGCATGAGGAAGAAAGATTTAAGAGGTCTAAATGCTAACAAAATGAGATAAAAACTTCTTTGGGAGTGGAAGATTTGTGTTGCAAAGGAATGGGCTGCCCAGAGAAAGGAAGGAGGTGGAAGACAATTTGGATTTATGAATTGCACGCAATGTCATCTTGTTCCCACTTACATTCTTCCCTCTGTCCTACTCCACTATCCGCTTTCTTCCTTACCAGTTACCTAGGGTATGCTCCATCTCCGTGCAAAGTCGTCCAGGTTGATGAAGCCAAGCTGAGCATCCCGAGCTGAACTGGGGAATTACTGGGGAAGGACACTTGCTAAGTTATTGCTCCTCTGGTTCTGAAAATTATTTCTTTATCTTGTTCTGTGGATTTAAATCTATAGCACACACACAGTCTAATCTCCAGAACCAACACCTTCCTTCCCAGGTGAGGCCTTAAGAGCTAGGCTTTGCTTTCAGATGCCTTCCATTCTCTGAGCTTGTACAGGTGAGCCAGCAGTAATAGTTTGCTGCCTTTCTGCATTAATCTGAATTCTCTCAGGTGTCCTTTCCTTTGTGCAAACAGCATAAAAAGGAAAAGAAGCCCAGAAATCAGATCTTCCCTGCCATCAATTTTAATAATAATTATGATAAAAGCAAAGTTCAAATTTTAAAAATTTCTACTTAGGAACTGTGTGGACTCAGAATATTTTGAGCTTAATACTCCATGAAGGCCATCGTAATGGAACAGAAAATATGGAGATGCTGGACAGAATCCCCTGGGTGGAATATAATATTAAAAATATGGATTATGGCAGTCTTCCTTTGCCTCGAGTTTTTGCCACTCACCTGCCTTACTACTTGACTCCAAAAGACCTGAGAAACAAAAAAGGACATGTAAGTGAAGTTATTTCCAACATTCAGTTAAATCCAACCCTGACAATTTGCCTCAGAGATTTGGTTCAAATCCCGTCATTTCCTTCTTTTAGTTTTGCACATCTTGGTACAAATATCACGACTTGAACAAAAGTGAGGAGATCTAGAAATTGCTTATTCAATTTCCTCTTGATTTTTTTGCAGCCCTTGCTGCTAGAAATAGGGATGGTGCAGAAATGCAACTCAGTGGGATGAGCCAGGGAAAAAATCTTGGACTGATGTCACCCTTCTGAAAAGATCAAGTTCCAGTGAAATAATGAGTCTAGAAAAGGCCTCCCACACAAAATTATAGTAGATAAAGAGGCAGTATTTTCTTATTCATCAGTATTGTGAATAGAATGCCCTGTTGTGAATTGTCATTTCTTCATGGATGCAGGTGTAGTGTAGAGCAGAGACAACTCACATGCAGAAAACAACACGGCCTCTTCAAAGACCAGAGCTGAGCTCACAGAGTTCTGACATCACCAACACCGTGCCAGAACTGTGGCTTACCAGAGATGGTTGTAGATTTCCTCATGAGAACTGCAGCAATGTGATGCTGAATCAACCGGGACGTTAAAATGATTTTGTAAGGCGGATGTTACAACCTGTCTATCTTGCACTACTGAATGGTATCAGTGTAGACTCTAACATTCTGTCCCAAGAAGAGATATCAGTGGGCTCAGAACAACCACAACAGGAATACTGCTGCCTATATTGGTAATGGAGTAATGGAGCACTTTGATCTCTCTGAGAGCCATCATCTTGTTGTACTGCAGGTTATTTATGTTGCCAGGAACCCTAAGGACGTGTTGGTTTCTTATTATCACTTCTCCAAATTCATCCGAACACTAGAGAAAATACCGGATTTTAACATTTTCATGGAGAGATTTTTAGCTGGAAAAGGTAGGATATTTTTCTTACTAAGGAGTCTAAACCCTACTCCATGGCCTCAAACAGAACAAGGATTAATTGTAGTAATAAACATCAGTCACCCAGAATCCTCAGCTGTCCTAGCCTGCAACCAAAGCTGGAGTGACCGTCTGAGCTGGGCCCTACTTTCAGTGCAGATTACAAGAAGTCAGGGGTCAAATGCCACATAACATAAAAAAGCATCACACAGGTGCTGTGATCATATGTGTACATCCACACTCTAAAAAGCCAAAAAGCCAACCGAATTGGGCCCCTGTGGGCCCCCCTCCGAGCCTTGGGGAAATGCAGAAACAGAAGAGAGGGAAGAATACAGTCCTGTCCTTGAAAGTAATAGAGGTGGTAGAGCAAGGCTGATAATTCTACTGCTTTAATTTGCTGATGGCTGTAAATAGCAGATCTCCCTCACACTCCACTTTTTATTTTTTGTTTTTCCTTCTTAAGTGCTTGGCAGTGCCTGGTTTGACCACGTTTCAGGCTGGTACAACCATGCAAAGGATTTCAATATACTCTTCCTGACCTACGAGGAGATGAAAAAGGTGAGGTCCATCGTATCACCATCTTCCAGATATTTTCTTCCTATATTGAATGCATTTTCAGGTAGGTCTTTAGATTTATCCATCATGGAGTACACTCAGTCCTCATGGAGAACAAATAAATTGAGACTTCCAAGGGCGTCATGTCATTTTTTCCCATTTGTGCAATGCTTTAGGAAGAATTATTACATAAATCAACTTCTTGCATAATGAGAGTCATCTTCCCAAAAGAAGCCAGACTATGGTATCATAAAAAATGATGGACAGCTTTGGACTCAAACTTAGTGATGTCCTTAACAATCCCGTATTCCACTGCTTTTATGCATTTATGCATTTAGTTTTCACATCATCAGAATGCTTCAAGTTTACTTTATTGCAGGATCTCAGAAGTGCTGTGCTGAAAATCTGCAACTTCATAGGCAAGACGCTGAGTGAAGAGGAAATAGAAAGTGTTGTGAGACAGGCTACATTTGAGAACATGCAGAAGGACCCCAGGGCAAACTACGAGAACATGCCAGACGACATTGCGATCAAGGGGAAGGGCAGATTTCTACGGAAAGGTAAAACAGAAGCAGTCCACTGCGGCAACCACTTAATTCCAACTCTTGGTGTAAAATGAACATAGGGTTTATGGACTTATCAGGATTGCCCCAGTCTCAAAAGGGGAGCTCAGATTAAATGGAATTAACTGTCAGAGTTGTTTTATAGCCCTTCTGTTGCTGTTTTTATCACATTTCCTTAAAGATAATAAAATGTCATGTTTCACTGATGATAACAAAAGTGGCAAATGGCCTGCTGGACATTACAGAAAATCTTGAAGGTTGTACTTCTGAACCAGGTGTAACATACTGCTCTCTTACTGGAGTATCAGTATGATTATGAGCAATTGGCTAAACAGATAGGTGGCTTTCACTGGCAGATAGGGGAGAAAAACCTCTCTCAAACAGAGAAAAACAATGTTTTAAGGCCATCAAGGGACTTACTATCTGGGCACGGCAGCAAATTTGATTTGAACACAGTCGGTGTTCAAACGTTATTCAATCAGGAGACACAGTTTAAGGCTGAAAAAAGTGCTGTCTTGCCAGTCTCCTCCACCTACGCTTACTCTTCCTTTTCAAGGCAACAACCAGCTACATTGTGTGAGCACAGGCCACCTCAGCCAACTGCTCTGAAGGTCAATACATGGCATCCTTGGGCTCCTTGGCAATGCTAAAGCGTTCTGAAGTACAGAGCAGGAGGAAATCCCTAGGGATTAAAGGGGGAGGTGCACTCACATTTAGATAAGTGTTCTCCAAAGAGCACACAAAGCCCTGCTTGAAAGTCCAGCAACACAGAGATGCCAAGGAAGCCTGGAATGGCTTCCTGAGAGTAGATCTCTCTGGTGAAAGGCCAGCTTCAGATAAGTGCCTTCTTCTCACCTCCCTTTGCTGCCTCTTTCCTCAGGCACCATTGGAGACTGGAAAAACATGATGACAGTGGCTCAGAGTGAAAGGTTTGATGAAGTTCTTAAAGAAAAAATACGGACCCTGCCTATCAAATTCACCTGGGAGATAGACAGCGATGTGTAGCCTGGCTTTGAGGTTTGTCACTCTTCGGCGTTCGTCATGGATGGACACACTTGACCTTATGGAAGAACATAATATGATTATTTTCAACTGTGTTGTAGAGATAATAAATAGAAGAACTCATTCAGAAAATGCGAGTTATCTGAAGGAGCTATTCAATTCCATCAGTTTCCTGTTTGTAATTTTATGAATTACTGTAGTTAATTTTCATAGTAAACTACAAGTTCCATTCTTCAGGATTGCATTTGCTGGCCTTAATAACACCCCAGTTATAGACAGCCAAATGAACTAGCCCTAATGTTGCATGTTCTGATGCTGCCTACTGACTGAAACACTTCACTACACTGTCTGTTACAGTTCTTCAGGCCATATTTGAAAATTTGAGAAAAAACACGTCGTAGTCATAGCAGTTTTTCAGTGAATGCTCACTCTAGCATTCCGATTGACTTGCTAGAGCTGCTGTGGTAGGAAGCTACCAGCAATCTGTGACCCATACAGACATTGACTCACTATTTGGCATTTAATTTGTCCACGATTCCCGTGATATGTTCATGATTTTAACAAACAAACAAACAAATCAAAACATGATTACATGACAATTCATTTAATCTGTGAGGCCAAATGACACACCTCTAGCTTGTGTGAGAATCTGTAAGACAAAACTACTATTACCTCTGCAGCTAACAACAGGTGCGTACTTGAGTACCTCTCACTTTGCTTACTGACAGAAGCATGGCTGTCTGCCTGCTGGGCTCTATGTCTTGTCTCAGATGCCAAAAATATCAAAAGCAACAATGCACCCACACCTCCAACCCAACCTCTCTGCATTGCTGATAGAACCCCACTGACATGGTACTGGTAACTCCAGGTCTCTCTGCTCTTGCTTTGAGGATGGGAAAATGAAGCCCATCACAGACGCAAAGCATTCCTTAGCAGGCTTGCAACTTGGGATGAGTCTGGTCGGCTGCTGACACCCCATCCCAAAATATTCACAAATATCCTCTCACTTCCTGTTCCAAAGAGTTCTGTGTCCTCACATCTGACAGAGGTCCTCAGCTGCATCAGGAACTGTGGCAGCTGAGTCATAAATACTGGGTACCAGGGTATCCTGATGTATCTGGTGCACAGACCCATGCCTCATGCATACCCACAGCGCATAAGTCTTTAATTCCTGGTCTGCCAATGGCTATGAGATACAGGGCTAATCTAAAATAATGGATCACCTCAAGAGAAGGTGCAGGCTGAACTTCCAGCACCTGCACTACAAAGCCTTGGCCTTACCTGTGCATCAGATCCCCATGTAGGAAACTTAGAAAGCACCCCCCAAGAAGATCTCACTGCAGAACTGGCCAACAATACTGAGACAAGATACTTTTGAAACTGCTCCTGCAGATACAAAAACAATCACTTGAGACAATCTTTTGTATGTACGTAAGAGTAAGGAAATGTCCTTTGTTTAAAGGAATGGATAGTGAGAGCCACGAAGATGATCAGGGGACTGGAGCACCTTCCCTATAAAGACAGGCTGAGGGAGCTGGGCCTGTTCAGCCTGGAGAAAAGAAGGCTGCAGGGTGACCTCATTTAGGTTGGATGCCAGGGGGAAGTTCTTTACAGAGAGAGTGGTGAGGTGCTGGAACAGGCTGCCCAGAGAGGTTGTGGATGCCCCATCCCTGGAGGTGTTCAAGGCCAGGTTGGATGGGGCCCTGGGCAGCCTGGTCTAGTATTAAATGGGGAGGTTGGTGGCCCTGTCTGTGGCAGAGGGGTTGGAGATTCATGACCCTTGAGGTCCCTTCCAACCTGGGCCATTCTGTGATAGTGATGGATTAAGGTAGTTATGTAGGACCAAAGAGGCTTATAAGCGAGCAGAAGAGTGGTGACTCTCACCTGATCCTCTTCCAGGGTTCTGCAACTACAATTCCTGACACCACCTGGATAGCAACTGACCCCATGAGACAGAATCCCCTCTTTCCACTCGACTGGATGTCAGGCTCACAATAAATTCCATTAAGTTTGTTGCATTCTAACAAGTACTCCAAATGTCAGGAAAAGAACCCCACTTCCAGAATTCGTAGAGTCAACCTACTGGCACCTCACGTGTCAGTTGACATGCTGCTTATAAAAGGAAGTGCATCTTTTCCACATTTATAAACTCTATCCACTGCAATCATACTGAGCTAAAACTTGAACTCCTATCTCCCCACATACACATTAACAGGTCTCTGATATGTCTCCAGCATTTATTTCTTCTAATAATCTTCTGCTTCCTTCAGTACAGCCTCAATCAAGAGGGAAGATCATCATGGAAGGAGGAAACATTTTGTTCCAACATTTTCTCAGACACCATCTGCACTCTGTAGTGGGTTTGAACCCTCATTCACTCTTACTGTTACAACATGTACAGAATCAAATTATGATGACTGCTTTTGGTTGATAGTGAATCAACATCCTAACAACTAGCCACAGCAGGACATAGCTTCTGAACTCTGAAACATTCCAAACCATCACTTAACTTGACAAGAAGCATCTAACTTAGCTTTCCAACAAACTGCTTTAAAAAAAAAAAAAAAAAAAAAAAAAAAAAAAAAAAAAAAAAGTAAAATACATTTTGTTTTTTTTTTCCCTTACCTGTCCCAAAGATCAATATTTTCATTTTTCAATCCAGCTGTTTTCACCTTCTGATGGGTTCTACTTACTTTTTGCTGCACCCAAGGAATTTCCTCATACAGAGGAAATTGCAAGCTGCTTTATTTAGACAAAGCCAACCATATCATTAGCCTACAACAAGAATGGGCCTTTTGTACCCCCAACAGTACAGCCAGATCATCTTTCCTTCTAGAACTTCACGTCCTCGATATCAAGAAAGTAAGTTACACAAAACATCTGTGATTTACGTAACCACCACACCCCCTGACACATGCGCCTGAACTTCAGACAAGCAGAATGTTGTTTTTTTCCACCTCTACATATTTACCCTGGGCACAGAAAAGATAAAACTAGTTCAGAATAATAATTCAGGTCTTTTGCTGAGTTTGCCTTAAGTACAAAAAAAACTTGATTACAATTTGGACCTTGATCTTTTACTGTTTTTTTTTTTCAATAGTAGACTACATCGAGTCCCATCACAGTAATAAAAACCCACCTAACACTCAAGACACAGCCTACTGATACCAGTTAACTCTTGCAGCTGCAGATTTTACCAGCATTCAGTACAGAAATGAAAATCAAGTTCTTTGCAATAAATGCAATTACACCAAAGAACTGAAAAATCCCTCTCCAAATTGGAGCCAAGTTGCAATGCACTAAAGGAATGATTTAGAAAAAAAAAAAAAAACACCAGAAATGAAATATCTGATTCTGCAACCTACCGTACAGCTCTTTCTCTCAGAATGCAGGATATCAGCACACTGGATACAGGTGTAGTTTTCTGTCTCGTCCAACAAACTTTTACTTTACTTCAGCAACCATGCAGTTAAAACTGAAGATACTTACGCACAGAGGGGGATTGGATTAGACATAAAGAAAAACGTTTTCTCAGACAGTGGTCAGGCACTGGAATGGCTGCCCAGGGAGGTGGTTAAGTTGCTGTCCCTGGCAATGTTCAAGAGACATCTGGATGAGGAGCTATGAGACATGATTTAGTGGCTTGTGGTAGCAATGGTAATGGGAGGACAATTGGACTAAGATGATCTTGTAGGTCCTTTCCAACCTTGTGATTCTATGATTTTACAATTCTACATCACAGCCTGATGGTTAAAGGTTTCCTAGTAGAAAGACTGAAGTCAGGCACTGGGTGGTGCATTTTAGCAGTGGAGACAGTGGGTCACCCTCACTGGTGTATATTTCTATAAGCGTGGCAGGCAGGCTTTTGCTCATCACTGTCGTGTTTCAACTATGTCAAAAAAGTGTTTGTTAGAGCAAAATTTCAGCTACAAAACAGCCGTTACTGTGCTCTTCCTATCTGTTGTAGTTTCTACAAAAAGAAATAGGAGACACTACTTTCAAAGTGACTAATTACAAGCAAGGCTATCAGTGCTGTTCTCAGTACGACGACTTGGAATTACTAAAATCCATTCAAAGTTAACTGACAGAATTTCATTAGACTAATACAGATTCGACTTCAGTCTAATCCAAAGTTTTAAATACTTAATCTGAACTTCTTCATCAAAAAATAAAATAAAAGATCTACCTCCATTTCTGGAAACTAAGTCGTACAGATGCATCCAAGTCCACTCAGTAAAATTACCTTTTATTTCACAAATGCTAATTGCTAATAAACAAATCAGAACTTTAGACTGAGTCACTGAAACTTGTTTCAAAGACTTGGAGAATTGGACTTGATGAAATATTTTTTTGTCACTTCAACCCTTATTTCCTCTGTTTTGAAAAAAAAAGAAAGTAGCAATGAAAATATAACTTTAACTTTACAGTTATAATTTCTTGAAGCCACACAATCTTTGCATAAAAACCAATAAACGTTAGTGTAAAAACAAAACAAAACAGAAAACCCTGTTAATCTAGAAATTATTATGAAACTCTTTTTCACATTTATGTGATTCTTGAATCATCAGTATCCCACTTAGAAAGCTTTCTCAGATTATCACATTTTGCACAGACTATACAGTATTCTTGGATTCAGTCCAGATTTGAAGAGTACTTCCTCATTGCTTTTATGAAAAATATGCTCATTTTAGACAAACAATTGACAACTCAAAGCAACCTTGCAAAGCTTTCATATGGCTGATGAGACATAGAAGAAAATTAAGTTCTGTGTTGAACAGCATTTTAAAGTGTGCTAGCAGATACACAGGAAACTGGACACAGTAATTACAAACCTTTCAACCCAACTGCATATTTGGAAAAGTCAGACTTTAAATATCATATTAGCTTACAACTTTTTAAATACATTTGGTAATACCTGCTGGTACACAGATCCTCCTTATTGCTTTGAAACACACAATGTTATAATTGAAACTTAGATGCTTATCTCAAGTTCTTATGCGCCAAAACTAAAAATAGCAAATAGAAGATGGTAGAAACAAAGGCATATGGTTCGTTTATAAAAACATTTATAGGGTACTCAAATATTTATTTCTATCTACTGGGAACTCATATTTATTCCTCTTGAGTACAAA